CCCAGGTATGAGCAAGAAAATGTCCTTGTCACTAGCGTGAATCATTGCTGAGGAATGAGCAGTGCTGGAGCTGTGGAGTGATCCTTACACTGCAGGGGATGAGGGTGTGCAACCAGCCTTCTTATTTGGGACTGTGTTCTTGGGCTGAACATCAGTAATGGCAATTTTCACCAACTGCAACTTCAAATGTATTTGAAAGAAGCTTAAAATAGTTTAATCCTGGCTTTATATTCAGGCTACTTTTTCCCCTAGAAATGTATTGTGCTGGCATTGGGTTTTTAAACACGTCATTAAAAGAATTCAAAATTTACCTGTGATATCTTTACTTTGAACCTAATTAGAGACTCTTGGTTGTAAGGTTTTATAATATTGGGCTGTGAGATAAAAGGCTGATCTGTGCACACACGAAGGAGCACAGGGACATAATAGCAGGCAGGGAAATCCCAAAACACAGACAGAGAATTAGAGTCCTGTCCCACTTCCTCCTAGGGTTGTCATGGGGCAGCCATCAGCCATGAGCTGGGGTGGACATCCATCACAGTGTGTCACTGGGGGGGCACCTGCCCATCACCTTGTGCACAAAGGGCGATTACTCCTTGCAGGACTTTAGGGATCATTGTGGGATGCAGAGGAGAGTGTTTGGGCATTATACAAGATTTATGGGATACTAGGAGCCAGCTATTGAAGCTGCTGTATGTATGAGTTGGATGCTGGGAAGATCAGATGGTGACAAGTTGGCTACTAGAGGCATCTAGAGGTTCAACGCAGCTGGGTGCAACCCAACAGCATAGGGTCTGGGGTCAGCTGAGACCAGGTTGTATGTATGTCTGTCTCTGCATAAAACTGGTGGAAAAGAGGGCAACCTCACATTTATTGGACTACTACTGCTGACATTGTAACACAGAATAAAAATTCTGATGGAACAGCTGGTGTGGTGAGAGAATATGTCCTAACTTTTTGTTGAATTTTTTTTTTTTTTAAAGAAGGCATCATTTTCTGATGTTGGTTTTTCTCTTGCCTAGAATCCTGGTAAATTCTTCCTATGCCATCTATAAGTTCAGTGCCCATAGCAACCAACTGTGCACTGTGGTTGCTTAAATAAATGTTGTGTATCAGCATATCCTGAAATATCAATCACTGTGACTGGTGGACAAAACATTTAAAGAGAAAAATAACTTTGTGACTTTTGTGCCATTCTGTCATCCCAGCATAGAGATTGCAACATGTATTAATCATTTTCCTTGTGTTTATAGCTGCTTAAAAATAATTTCAAGCAAATTTTATAATCATTCTTGAGCACAGTAGTAATCTTTTTTCTGAAGTGCATCTGTAAAGAGTATGACAGAATGATCTAGTTCTGCAGAGTGAAAGTAAGGAGAATGTAAAGCTACTGAAACTCGTGTGTTTGTGCCGAAGGACTGGGCTAGGCTACCTGACATTTTTGCCTTAATGGAGGTTTCTTAGTTAAATTAGATTTCAGATGCAACATTGTGAATATTATTTAATTTTCTCTGTCCTTGTCACCAGGACAGGTTCTTTGGCATCCCTGGCAGTGACTGGCCACAGGACTGTGGTTGTAATTAGAGATTTATTATTACGTAAGAAAGAAATGAACAAACAGCATAGCTCATCATCTGCAATTTCTAGCACTTGGCTTACAGTTGCACTGAATTTTTAGAAGTCTGAGTTACACATGCTTTTTTAGGTCACTTAGGAAGACCTGTGCAGGTCAGGTCACATTCTGTCAATCAGCACACAACACTTGGGGCACAAGTCTTATAATGAGTGGAAATGGGTAAGAGCAGAATAAAGGAGATCCCGTGGACATCACAAAGAGCAATGTAAAGAGTGGCTTGTCCACTGGCAGCATCTCGAAACTATGCACAAACATATTTAATTCACTTCATTTTTTGACCCAGTAGAGAAGTAGAGTGGGGTGACTTCCCTTTGGGCGATTTCTTCTTAAAATGTACAGAAATAGAGGTTTTAAGTGGATCTTTAAATTCAGTCACCTCAATGCATCTCTACTCAGAATCTCTCTTTCAGTAGCTGACCTCCATCTTGCTGTTCATTTGAAGCATTTGCTGTTAGCTATCTTCAGGCTGCAGAGGGAACCAGCTTAACTTCAGAGAGCAACAGAGATGGTAAATGTGCTCTGGTCAAGGATCACCTTCAAAATTGCCGGATTAAGCCTAGCCTAAGGGAGTTTTGTCCCTGTTCATGGATGGTGTGCCTTCATCTGCTGCAGTTACTTTTCTAGCAGATACACCTGTTGCACATTTGGAAGTGATGTACAGATCCTGTCCATATTCTAAAATACTGTTGACAAATCAATAGAGAATATGCAGAACTCTTTGTTCAAGTGTATAGTGTGGATCCAGCAGCTTCACTGCACATAACAAATGGCAGGACATGCTTCTTTCAACAGCTGTAGAAAACTGATTGAAGCTAGTCCTTTTCACCTGCCTGCATTGCCAGGGAATTAAAGTTTCAGTCTGCCTTTTGTGCGTTTTTAAATATGCATGACCCAAATAAGGGACCTGTTGAGAGGCTCTGATGCTCTTGCATGTGAAACCTGGTATTCTGATCTTTTCCTTCTGATGTTTCAGTGCTTTCAGATGTGATAAATTTACCTTTGAAATAACCATAATTTCTTCTTGTGTAAAATAGAGTTTAATAAGTAGACTTTGCAGCTGGCTGTTAGAAACTGCTGGTTGAAGTTGGCCACACTGAATGGATCATCAAGGGAGTGGTGACACACTGGAACAGGTTGCTCAAGGAGGTTGTGGATGCCCCATCCCTGGAGGCATTCAAGGCCAGGCTGGATGTGGCTCTGGGCAGCCTGGTGTGGTTGGTTGGCGACCCTGCACATAGCAGGGGGGTTGAAACTAGATAACATTGTGGTTCTTTTCAACCCAGGCCGTTCTGTGAGTCTGTGATCGCTTCATCATCATTTGCTTTAATTTTCCTGTTTGTAATGCAGAAAATATAATGCTCACCCTCTTGTATACAGCTCTTGGAGCTTTGTTCTGGATAGCTTTTTTAGAAACCTTTGTGCAGTGTAGACATTTTAGGATGTGGCAAAGTCCTGCTGAAAAGTATCAGTTTGAGAGTGCTCCACATTCATAGGTGGGGATTTCTGAACAAGGGACATCTATAAATTCTAGTTTTATCCCAAGCAAGTTTTTGAGCTAGGAAAGATACCACAGTCCACCAAATGTGCATGTATAATAAGAAGTATATTAAAAGCAATACTCTGACAAAGAGTTAGTAAGATGTACAAGACATAAATGCTTCTTTATCAGAATAATCTAATACTAAGCTGTTCAGTGCTTAACACAATTCTTACAATGATGTGGAAGTTTGTGTAAAGCCTTGATATTCCAAGCACATCCTGTAGAGTAATGACAAACTGCCTGTTTAGCTTCAGAGATACAAATGACTGCAAGGTGAGTGAGACGCTCAAGTAGCCCAAAGCACCTTTCACAGAAGACTTTTTTTCATACAGGGATCTCAGGAAAACTGAACCTTATCTGGGTTGCTCTTTAGAAACCCAAGACACAAAACTCTCTTGAGAGAAACCATTATAATATGCTACCATTGTAAAATACTCTGATGGGTGGCACAGGGGCTTTTTTTCCTCCTCTTGTGATAGTTGGAGTTGAACTTTAGATAAATCATTTTGAACATGGCCATTTGAAGTCTCTGTTCTGTTCCTGTCATCTTTGGAGCTGTGAAGAAGAGAAAAAGGAAAGGGAGAACAGAGCTGAGAAGAAGTTGTTATAGTTGTTTTTGCAAGAATTAACATCATCTATAAGAAAAAAAGTCTTCAGACACTGCAACTACAGACAGCATTTAGTCTCCAATTCTATTTTGCCCTGAGACAGCCAGCAAAATAGAAACAGCAACACAGGATAAATCACTGCTGGCAGAACTTAACGGTTATGCAATGTCCAGCACACCATGCACCTATTTTTAGATCAGTTTTATGCTAGCAGAATTTAGATTATGAAATCTGAAAAGAATGTCTAGTCAAAGGCTGAGGGCAAAGAAAATGTTTAGAAGAGCATCCATGTAAAAATGGTTAGTACAAAGATACGGTCATAAAACCAACTTTGGCAATTGTGCTGTCCATTTGAGAGTGTTGGCTTGGTCAGGCATGGTAATGAAGATCAGTTTTTTTCATCAGTATTTCCTTGAATTTCTAATCCACAGTTGCTTTTTAAAGAGTTAACTCTGGTCAGATAGTGGTATGTGGTTTACATAAAGCTCAGCTTCTCCACTGTTTGTACTGCACTTTGTGTTTACCAGCTCTGGAACGAAGTAAGCTGCAGCTCACCCCATTATAGAGTACCAGCCGCTCAAACGTAAAGAACTTTGTTAGATGGGGTGCTCTGCAAAGCTGGACGAGCTACAGAGAGGCTCCTCAGCCTTCGTCAGTCACCCTAGACTTAATGAACCTAATGGCATTTACCTGGTGTGTGCTTCGTGTATTACAGATCTTTGGGAAATTAGGCCTGTGTGTGCTGTTTGCTTCAGATCAAAGTTCAGACTAAATATTTTGCTCTGTTCACAGGAGTACGTAGTAGGTTATGTTTGATGAGTTAAAGGTACATTTTCAACATATGACTGTTTTGGAAATGTGTATTAGTGGATTAGTTGTGCATACCTTGTTCTTCTTCCAAAATCAGATTTGCATCTTTTCTCTTTCTGATTTGACTTTATCCTCTTATTCCCGGTGTTGTAATTCTACATTAGTTTGTGGAAGCGAGTGTCGTTTGTTTCCAAATGTTTTTGCTCAGATTCAGAAGAGGTAGTGAATGGGAAATCTCTGACCTCTCAGCCTCTGCGTTCCAGAATATAAAACAATCTCTGTGTAGCAAACGTATCTTTGGGGTTCCTTCTACAATTCTGGCAGTTTTCAATGTGCCTTGAAGTGAATTAGCGCTCTGGTTGTTGTACGGTCTGTATTGATCTTTTTCCCCAAATCTTTCTTCCAGGTAACAATCTTGATGCTATCCATGACATAACTGTGGCATACCCCCAAAACATTCCTCAGACGGAGAAGCACCTTTTGAATGGAAACTTCCCAAAGGAGATTCACTTCCATGTCCAGAGATACCCCGTAGAGACAGTGCCCACTTCTAAGGAGGAGTTGCAGCTTTGGTGCCAGAAGCGTTGGGAAGAGAAAGAGGAGAGACTTCGGCGCTTCTATGAAGGTGGAAAGTGCTTTGATGAGACGGGGCAAAGCATTATTCCCCCGTGTAAATCTGAGCTCAGGGTCCTCGCAGTCAAGTGCATCTCACTCCTGTATTGGACGGTGTTCCCAATGGGTACGTTTGCACTGCTGTACCTGTACAGCTTTGCACGATGGTATTTTGCAACCATGATAGTCATCTTTGTTGTGCAGCAAAAGATATTTGGTGGGCTGGAACTAATTGAACTTGCTTGTCATCAATATTTTAAAAAGCAACAGAAACTTAACGACGCAAAAATTAAAAGGAAGTAGTTCTTGCGTAAGGAAGCGCATAATAATGTGTGGCTTCGGGACGTACTGCAACTTTTATGAACAGGAAAGGATTTTTGCATGAGAATTGTCTTTTACTATTGTTATTGTTTGCTAGACATTTGCACTTAATTCTGTGAAAAGAAAGAAAACCGTTAGTTATCATTGCGTGTGAAAATGATAGTTTTTATCTCTGAATGTAATTTCAACATTGCTCTTGCAAGCAGCTAGCAACTGCATTCTGCTGTAATTAAGAAACACGTTGCTGGATTATTGAACAATCAAAGGGGTGTTAATAAATATGACGTGCACTGAAAGTCCATGTACAAATCCCAACTGTCCGGCTAAGAAAGACAGATGTGTTGCTTCTGTACAATCATATTGCCATAAAGCACCGGATTTGAAAAGCTGCTATATTTAACGGTGGTTTGATGGTAGGTGGAAGCTGGAAGAGGATGTTCCATTTCTTTTTTTGCTATTTCAAATAGTCACACTTACTTTAAAATACTTTGACTTCATCTTCTTCAAACACTACGGAACCACGCTATTCAACCTGTTCTGCCTCAGTCAGTCAGAACTTAAAGGATTTTTAGGCCTGCCAGTGTTGTGTTGTGGTCTGAGAAACAGTGCTGGCTTTGCCTCCAGTTAAGTCTTTACTGATTATTTAATAGATCTATGCAGCTAGGTTTTGATTTCTCACTGTTCAAGCTGGTTTGGTGTTCCTACTATAGTACGTTTAGCTGCAGGATAGGGGAGCTGGGTTTTGTTGTTTTATTGGTGTTTTTTTTCTGGTAGAGGCAATAATATGTCTGTCTCTCAAGTATCTGGTAAATGGTTTTTCAAAGAGATCTCATTATAGACACTATTTGCTGATTTTTTTTTTTTTTTTTTTTTTTGAGAAGGCAAGGTATCTTTTTTTTTTCTTTTGAAGATTTTTGGTTTATTCTCACATTGCTTCTTTCGACATTTCAGTTGTCCAAATGCATAAAGAAGAAGATTGCCTTTTCTGTGCAAGCCAGCCAGACCTGTTGGAATGTATCCACAGTTGTCTTTGTATGAGTATTAAAAAAGATGGGTTTCAGACTATCACAACACAGGGAAACTGAGTTTCAGCTTCTTTTTACAGAATTATCTTGCATTGCCTGACTGTATCACTCCTTTTCCATACTTCTTTACAAGTTTTTATTATTTTGGGAGGCTCCCACTCTAACACACTTCCTTCTTTTCATGATATTAAGGGATTCTGAATATCATGAAATCCAAATTAAACTCTAAAAATGCACTTTGCAAGTGCAATGAATGTAATATCTACAGTAAAAGGTACAAACATTGCCAGCACTTAGGAGACACTTCAGGTTAGACTTGTTCAGCCTCAGCAATGTTAGATCACTTGGTCAAATGTATTGCTGCAAAAGTTCCTGGACTTACTAAATGTTTGTTGTTTATTGCATGGAGACGTAATTGAGCTAAACCAAAATAGCCTGACTGTATGTTGAGTTGTTCTGCTGTGAAATATGAACTGCCTATTTCAAGCACTGGGTCAGCACTGTAAGGTACATTTGTTTCTTCTACAACACTAAACATGTTGTCTCCTGTGTTTGTATCAAAGGCCATTTTTTGAATGAATCACCAGCCTCTATTCAACTGTCCCTCGCGAGGTGACAAGTATTTTTTAACCTGTGCTTCTAATAACTGTTTATTATGCAGAAAGTACTTGAAGCCATCGGTTTTATTCTAATTTTTTAATCCTTTTTTTCTTAAAAGATAAATAAAAGTAGGTTTATATTTGGGATTATGTTTCTAAATGATTTTTCATATTTATATTGTAGTCCCTAAAGTCGGGTAACTGTTGTTTTGTTGCAGTTCCTCTGTGGTATGGTGACGTTCCTTAATGTAATTTTGTGATATCAAAGGCATTTAGACAAAAGCCTAGATCTGCATAGCTGGTGTTTTTCCCTTAGTACTCTGCTTTGGTGCAGTTCCTTGTATGTCCACAGAACAGTCACCACAAGGGAAAAACTAAAATCGGCATTTATAGATAAGCAGAGGAGAACCAAAGGCTTTGAGTCTGTCCTGAGCCATGGCTGTGCTTTCACACCAGGAGTAGCCATGGCTGGGGCACACCAACAGCCTTAGAAGTCTTCAGGAATGACTTCAGAGGGCAGCTGTGACATAAATACCAGCTACACTTTTTCAGTCATTCAGAGAACTTTGTGATGTCATAAAGAGTACCAGAAACGTTCAGTCCAGGTCATGGAGCAGGGAAAGATTTCTAGCGTATTTTGTATCTGTGTTTGATTAGAGTTGAATTCTGAAAGTGAAATACAATGCAGTTGACCCTTACAAGTTTTCTGTCCGGCTGGAGCCAAACGTGTAACTAATGTAATGTGGGAAATGTCCTGCAGATCTGTAATTCATCCTCCTCTCCCGTGGGTTCAGATTGAGCAGAAATAATCATCATCTTGTTAGCTCTAAAACGCTGCATTGGCACTGCCTGGCTGCATAAAGTAGGGGAGCCCATGGTAAGGGAGGAATCCTCCTCACAGGGAAGGCTGTTGACTTTGAGACAGGCAGGACTTTTCAGATGCCGTGCCTCATTTTTCAATTAGAAATGCTAGACAAAATAAATCAGCTTTTGTATTTAAAAAGTTGTTAAAATGATGAGGAAGATCCTTCTGTGTATGTTCTTTTCCTATTTGGTCAAAAAGAGCTTTTACTCAAAAGGTTTTAATATGCATATTTTGGGGAGAATACTTTGTTCTTATTCACCGTTTCCTTTTTCAGACTCCACTTACTAAGACGTGCTGGGTGAATCACTTGAAGTGTTTTCAATGCTGTTAGATTAAAGGTGCTAGTACTCCAGGAATCACACATCTACCTTTTGTGGACCTTGTATTGGCACCAAGGCTTATCTTACTGATTAGCCCAGTTTCTCATGGCTTATGTCCTCTCGCAGCCCCGGTAGACAGAGCACGTCGTTCAACCACGACTACTCCTGCTATGGGGCCTCCATCTCTGCTGTCTTCCTTATGTTATTAGAGAAACATGACTTGCTTTTCTTGCCTTTGAAGATACTCTTCGTTTGTTCCATCAAATGTTTCCACATCTGCGCTGTGGGTTTCTTTCTCTTTGCTCCAAACTGAAAGTTGAAGTCCTCTCATCTTTGTGTGTTTGTGCTGAAACTCATCTGGCTAACAGAACATCAAACCAAGACATTTCTCTTGTGTTCAAAGCTGCGGGGCTCCAAGCTGGTCTGTAAGGTGTTGTCTTGATCATACGAAATGTAGTTTCTAGCTCTGTGCATTGCATACATCTCTGTTGTTTAAAAAAGATGAGTGTTTTTATAAATTGATTTTATATGTACATTGTATGAAAGAAAATGCCAGGATACTACAAACCTACAGGAAGCCTTAGTTTTTAAAGTTCATTGGTTATACTAGGGTATTTTAACCATGTATCAATTACTCTACAGCAACAATAAAGTCTTGAAGCATTGCATGTGTTTAACTTCACTGTTTTCATTTTACTGTGTGACATATTCTGTATGGAATATTCTTAAGGAGCCTTGTCTTCACTCTCATTAATGTCTTGATCTGCAGGTACTTGGTTGGTGGTTTATGGCTGTTATGGTTGTTGAGGTGACATTTCCCTTCTGTTCCTAGGAAGTTGAGAAGATTGTACATTCCCTGCTGGCCTGTTCCCATAAAGTGATGCAGAAGCCTTTGGGCAGGCTGGAACTATAGCTCAATGTTAGCCTTGCTTGGTTTCTTAGCCAGTATTGCTCAAGAATTGGCTTGTAAAAGCATGTTAGGTATTGATATGCAGATAATTGCTCACCTGTTACCATCAGTGTAATTACACAAAAAGTGGTCTGTGGCAAGGTTCACTTACTTATAGGACCTGTTTTTATATGACTTTGCAGGCTCAGTGTGATTTGTCTCTCCATTGTCTGGAAACTAATTTGGTGTGGAAGGGTAAGAGCTGTGTTTCTTAGGAATCTCTGTGGCCCTTTTACCAAACAGAGTAACAAGGGTAATGCCCTTGATGTGACTGCCTCGTTGTGGTCAGAAAGACCGTAATAAACAGAGATTCTGGTAGCTGTTTTTATAGTTGGAGATGATATTTGGGATTTCTGTGTATGCTCTGAGCATTCAAATCAGTCTCCAGAAGTGGAAGTGTGCCCTACTCTGTACTGAGTGGCTTGTTTCTCTGAAAAGGCTGTTGTCACTTCCTTTTTGTTTCCTCAGGGCTCAAATATACACTGAACAAAATATTGTCTGTCTTACCTGGCATTAAAGAAAATAATAGTAAAAAAAGCTAAAGCTCTCACCTTCTGTCTGCCCTCAGCACTCCCTGTTTGGTTCAATACAGCTGGCAGAAGGTTCAGTTTTATTTTGTGAGGACTGTGAATCAGATGGCAAGTTACCTCGACCAGAAATTATTAGCACAGTTGGTGCTTATAATGTGCTCGAGTGACTCTCTCGTCCTAGAGTGCAGTTGGAAGGGAATGGTTGTGCTGAGGCACAGCAGAGGCAGAGGTCTCATGTCTGTCCTTGCTGAACCTCTCAAGAATCCCGGCTCAGAGTGTCTCGATCTACACTCCAAATGCTTATCCTAGCTTTTAATTAAAAAGCTGAAGCTCTCGGACTTGCTGTGACTCTTCTGCAGCCACAGCCAGACCACATGACTGTACAGCAGCTTAAAAGCCCACCAGGGCACTCAACAAGCCTTTCTGCAGCAAAGAGCAGTAATGGAGACAGGAGCCCAGCCAGAAGCTTATCATCTGTTGTCTTCATTTCCACACCAAGGTTATCTGCCGAGCATCTGTTTCGGGGCTCCAGCAGAGCCTTGGACCCTGACGCTGGGTGAGGGCAAACCTGACCTTGCAGTCACTCGATACAGACATGTCCATGGAGTGCGGGCCTTCTCCAGCCTCCTCTGGATGGATGCTGACTTCTCAGGAAGGTTTCTCTTTTATATCTTTCCATCCGGAAAGGGGAGGATCTTTGCCAGGAGCCCCAAAATGCAAACATAAGGAAGTGTGTAGGCATGATCACAGCAAGGGCTTGGATCTGCCTCTATGTGAGGTGTGAAGGTTAAAGGCAGTCTTTCAGCTTTCTACCACAGCTAATGACGGAAAATGCTACACGAGAGAGTGCCTAATTAGGGATTAATGAGAAAGGAGCCTGTGGTTTTATTATCTGTTGGATATGAGCTCTGTGGATGAGCAGGAGAGCTTGCATTAGCTGCTTCCTGCAGAGTCTTCACAGAAGAAAAATCCTTAGCAGGCCCAGAGGTGGAGGAGAGAGCAGTGCTCAGCATCCCCCTCTGCAGGCTCTGGCAGACCCCAGACCTGTGGTCCTGTGGATTGCTGTCAGCAGGGGGACACTACTTTATTTTGTAGAACCTCTTTGAGGGTCAAAGGGGCTCCAGCTCCATGACAGCAGCGTGCCCTTGTGTTTTGGCACACATGAACGTGACATGTCAGGAGAGGGCTGGTCCAGGAACAACAGCGGAATTCTTTGCTTCGTTGTAGGACCATGCCTCCTCTCCTTTCCGGGGTGAAGCTGCCAGCAAGAAACACAGGTGACTGGAAGAGGTTGGATCACTGGCTGTTAGGTGAAGACAAGGATAACGCCAGGGAGGTAAAACACTTAATTAGCTCCGTTGTTCTAAGCTGTTGCATAAAAGCTATTAATGTTATAATAGGACATAATGTATGCTTGCACAGTAAGAACAACAAATATAGGCAGAACAGTCCTGGTCATAAATATCCCTCAATCCACCGCAGCAGACCTCTCTGCCATCATTATGCAGCGCATGGCCAGCCTGGCTGAGCAGTGCCAAACAAACAGCCAGCACTGAATGCATTTAATGGCAGCAGCTCCTCCTCTTTCTAAACAATATGTGCAAACATGTCTTTCCGTCCCCTGGGGCTTTCATTGTTTTATGATTAGCAGGTCCCTGAATGTTCCTTGAGGAGAGACATCAAGACAAACCCACTGCAGGCCCTCCCCATCCATGGGGCTCTTGATGCATGTGCCACAAGGAGACAGAGGCCAAGGGCTAAGTCACTGGGTAAGAACATCTCTTATGTGTTTCTCATGTCTATTGATTCTGTGCTTCCTTCTGTATTTTGAATGTTTTAATGATTATTCTGCATTTTGCCATTCAGTTGTTGCAGTAACATCTAGGCCCTAAAGTTGTCAGTCACGATTTTTTGTAAGATCACAGCCCAACTCCATTACCTTGTTCTTTGATAAAAAGCTCATGAACTTTTTAAGCTTTCTGTATTGATGCAACATGCTGTTAGGTGCTCTCCTAGCTTTATTAACAAAACCTCCCCTGGCACAACTTAAGGCCATTTCCTCTCATCCTATCCTATTACATGGGAGAAGAAACTGGCCCCCACCTCGCCACAACCTCCTTTCAGGCAGTTGTAGAGGGCAATAAGGTCTCCCTGAGCCTCCTCTTTTCCAGACAAAGTGCTCCAGACAAGATGCTGCCTATTAGAGGCATTTATATAATTGAAGTGGTCTATATTTATCAGAAGTGCATGGAGTTCCCACCTCAAGGGTTGGATACCCAGCAACTTGGAAAACGTTAGCTTTCCTAATGAATCATCAGGGAGAAGAACCTAAAAATATGACTGAGCTCTAAGAGGACGTGTCCTGGAGCTCAGGGAGCCAAAGTCAGGTAGCACCAAGTGCCATTCTTGCACTGGCTGAGTTGGGATGCTGCGCTCAGAAACTCATTGCCTGTGAGAGAGCAGGACCTGTGCTGGATCCTCATTTCAGACTTCAGCTGTGGTGTTTGATGTTGAGCCAGTGTTGAGCTAAAGAGAAAGACTCCTGACCCACACAGGGGTCTGCTGAAGATGTTTTGAGGACCACTATTGCTGCTTCATCTTGAAACTGAAAGCCAACACAGATTCAGCTTTGCCTGGGTGATCCTACTGCATGTGGCAGGAGACAGCAAGGTGGTCAGACAGACTGAGGGGTGTTTCTGCAGTTGTGCGTGAACAGAAGTGGTTAAGGAAAGATATCTTAGGCAAAGAGAACAGCTGGAGGAGAATAATGAATAGTCTCTTGCTTGTTTTTTTACTGTTGTAAGTGGTTGTTTCCCCACCATACCTGAGAACACAGCTTAGTTTGGGCAGAGTGGTCGTCTTCGTGCAGATCCTATGCTGATTTTGTGCAGTGTCTAGTCTGTGTCTTTTTAAGCTCTTAATCACTATGTCCTGGATCATAATTCTGCCTTCCTTTATACTAAATTAAAGACCTACCTGCTGGAGGCAGAGACTGGCCATACAGCCTGTCCTGCTGTGTGGTCTTCTCAGTGTATTGCTGGTCCACTTGTGTGACCATCTTGATGGCTCTACATCCCTGTAGTGCTCCTTGCAATGCCTTTGGCCCCCAGCATCGCCTAGTTCAGCATCCTGCTCCATACAGTCTGTGTGTTTGCTAAAGGTGGCACAAAAGGAGTACATGCAATTCACACAGTGAATCTACTTGAAATGCAACACAATGATAGAGAGGTTAAACTGCACTGAGCCAGTGAATTAGTGACCCATCACAACCAAGGTCAATGTGCCTCTCAGTAGCATCCACAAAGCAGTCACTCTTATTCAAGTAAAATAATCCCCAGGGCTTACTCCAACCCATCTGGAGCCTCCACATTTTGTTATGGTTTGGAAAAGCGTCATCAGAAGGTGTTCTCTCATTGCTATTGTTACAAGTTCCCAAAGAACAGCCAGGCTTGAGGTTACCTAAACGAGCTGTAGAGTTTCCTGCCTCTACAGCCAGTATTAATTTAGCCCTGAAAGAGGGATACTTCTGAGCTGTGGGAGAGAAGAAGCAGAGTCTTGGGGATAGTGGAAGTGATGCATAGAGTGAAAAGACAGGAGGTGCAGCAGCTCAGGGTCTTCCCCAGGATGGAGGGACACAGGTACAGGCTGCCATCATGTTGTGCTCTGCACAGATGTCTATATGCACTCTTTGCATGAACTGCACCTGGATGCTTGCCTGTGGGGTTCCTGTGGTCACTGCCCAGCTCATCCAGTGACCTGGACACCCATTGGTGGCACTAGACTAGTCTTCCTGAACTATTGCTCCAAGCACCTGGGGGCAGCTCCCTGCCACTCCTGGCTGTGATTTGTCCACCCAACCCAGTACCACCAGCATGGATGCACTGGTCAGTCCTGGGAAATGAGGCTCTGTTGCTCAGCAACCAAGGAAAGACACTGATCCAAAACTATGTAGCTGCTCTGCGCACTGCATATTTCTTAAGCAAGGTAATTTATTTGGAAGAGAGCTGATTCTGGCAGCGCTCCTCATGCACATTTTCTGCTCTCCTCCATCCTCCATGCAGATGGCTCTGCTGTTCCAAAGCTCCTCTCTCCTGCCCTGGCTGTGAGTCCCTATCCTGCAAGAGCTGCTGCAATTGGTTTTTATTTTTAAGTCCTGTGCCACAAATACCTGACCTTGATCATTCACTTGCAGCCCCAACAGCTTCATGAGCTTCACATCCTCATTTAGACAGCAATATTAACTGAACGAGCCCTACGGGTGCACAGGGTGGAGATGGCAGGCCAGTGTGCCCACAGCTGCTCCCCTAAGCGAAGACTGCATGGGCTGGGCTCATGTAAACCCTGCCAGATTTTCTGCTGGCAACAAAGAAGGTCCTTCAGAAGGAGTTAATGGGATGGAAAAGTGGATTATGGCCTTTGTGATGTTATTTTCCTTGTTTGGAACACAATTTAAATAACTTGTTGTTTTTTTTTTTAAATCCTTCAGCCCACCCCATCTGGGAGGACACAGTAGACCCTCATTCGTCATTTGGCTGTATGCAAAGAGATGCATGTGATAAATCAATCTGAGAGGAAGCGTGACCTTCCAAAGCAGGGATGCTGCTAAAGAGGATATGGGCCTGCAGACTGTCATGCAAGGAAGGATATTAGTGCAGACTCAGTCAAGAGAGAAAGCCAGACCACCACGCTCAGGCTTGGCTGTAAGTACCCAAGCATTCACCAGTGTTGAACTCGGTGATCTGGGCTTGAGGTTTGGTGGCACCTGCTCCCAGCTGGCTTATTGAGCTCCCAGATTCACTGCAGAGTCTCCTAATGCAAAGGCACTTGGCAAGCTTTCCCTTATTCCTTGGGCTGAAAGGTGAAGTTGAACCTGGAAGGTTCATGAGTGCTCCACCACATTTTTGAGGTGCAAAGCCAAGCACATGCAAAGAGGGATTTGCCATGGTACATGTAAAGGTACGGGAAATGATGGGAGCCTGCTCGTGGGAAGGAATGGTGCTGTGCTGTGGTGATGGGAGAAAATATGCTGCAGCCAGTACTCATTTAGGGGCCAGGAATGTGCTTTTGGTACTACAGCCAGGTCTGCTGCAAAATTTCAGCTTGACAGGAATGCCCAGGATGCTAAGTATGCCCTTCTAGAGATCCTTCACCCTGAGACAGGCACCAGCTGATACATAAATTAACATTTTCCCCCAGCTTTCAGAAGCTTACAACAGGTTCTCTAATTGCACAAGTGTTTAGCACAACTTGACTAAATTTCTCCAGGCGCTGCTAATGAAAGTGAATCTACTGGGATGACAAATATCTTCCTCTTCTCACCCACAGCTGCTGCAACCGCTTCTCGTGCTCCAGTGCTGCCTTGCTGACTCTTGGATGCTGCCTGTGCAAGGGCCAGCACTGTGCATGGACCTGCCTTGATGCAGGTTATCGGTGGTCGGTTCCTCTTTCAGCAAATAGCTGTGGTGGAAAAGGACTGATCTGTAAGTCTCTTGTTGTCCTCCTGTCCATGCTTGGTGGGGAGACTGAATAAAATACATTGGATGCTGCAGGAAGACACAAAATTTAAATAAATTCCCCTTCCTCCTCAGTAATCAAAATGTTTCTCCCCTAAGAGCCCCTTGATTAATCGATCTCGCAACTGACAAATCGAGGACGGGAATTCAAAATCCAATTGAAATGGAGGAAAACAACGTTATGCACCATCTGATGCAGTCAGCGATGTCACAGAATGAAATGACTGCAGAAAAATAGGGGCTTGTGCTGGACGAGCCGTCATTAAGATGTGGCGAGGGTATTATTAAGTAAAACAACATTGATTTTGTTTGAAGGATTTGGCCGTCCATATTAAATATCATCTCAGTAATGTGATCTCAGTAGTTGCTTGAAATGTCAGACTCACTTGGCTACATCTGTTTGCTGGGGCTGCTGCCGGAAAATGGAAATGAAAATTTCATTCTTTATCAGCCATTGGTCTGCTTTAGCAACTTGATAGGCTTCACCCTGAACGGGGCTGAATTAGCATATGAGCTCACTACAGGGAATATAGGTATGCCAGGAACGCTGGTGTATATAAAACATGTGTGACAGTAACGAGATGAGTAATTTATGCAGGCAGAAGCAGCCACCATAGCGGGATATTTCAAAGCCAGGAACCTCTGTAAGCTCTGGGCTTTCATGTGACGTGCACTATGGATCCAACACCGGTCCAGGTCTTCTGCTGCATGAGTACATGCAGTGCTGCTGGCTTCAGCTCCACGTTCCTGCTTTGAGAGAGCATGGAGCCTGCATCTCTGCACCCACACACACTGCTTCTGTCAGGTACCCAAATCCCAGTGCCCTTGGTTCTGAGGGAGGTAGAAACACGTCTGTGTTCTATGTGAGTCCTGCTGAAGGCAGCCCTTGGCTGAGGCAGCCTATGAGGCCGCCTGTCGCTGCTGAGGACATCTGTCTGTGTCTCTGGGAGAGGTGCTCAGCATTGCCACCAGCTCAACCTGCCAAGAGGAAAGCAGCAGCCATGTCCCAGCCTGGGCAGGGGTTGGGACTGGGTAGGTTGTTGCATCCCTACCAACCAAGCCATTCTATGATATTTTCTAAGAAAAAAAAAAAAAAAAGAAATAGGAGAAGAAAACGGAAAGAGGATAATTTTGTGTTTGTTGGGTGAGCCTGGTAGCCACAGATCACAAAGGGGAAAATATGCATGGAGAGTAAAACAAAGAAGCTTTTGTGTGATGCCAGCAATTTTTCTTTCCTTTTCTGAGAAAGGAGCTGTGTGAATGTGAGGTGTGAGATTTTGCTCTTTCAAATGGCTGAGTCAAACACCAGCTCAATTACAGAGAGCAGTGCAGGAATATGAAGGACACAGAATAACCATGTTTTGTCATTCCTCCTGCAGACTCAACATGTGTAGCGAGCGGGAAGAAGGGAAAAGATTGTGATAGAATTCAGATGGGATTTGGATAGAAGTTTTCAAATGAAATTTAAAGGTTATTCTTAGACCCAAATGCAGGGTGCTGCTCCAAGGCATGAGCAGACTGGCAAACAATCTGCATTTTTCCACTTAATATTACTTCTAGGGATGTGTTTACCACATAAGCAGAAAGAATTGCAAATGTTGTACTGGGTACATTGTCAAAATCTTAACCTAAAGATTTTCGTCTCTATAACTGACCACTGATACTATTTTTTATTTTGCAAATGAGCAGTAGTCCATGTGGCAAAAGCCAAATGTAGAGGAGAATACTAAGAAGTGGTTGTTGGCCACAGTGGCTGTTTTCCTTAGGGGTTTGGTGACCACCGGAGACAGACTGCTAGCATCCCTATCCGAGTGCTGCAATATGTGGTTGGTTTGGGGTTTTGCTGCCCTTGCATTCACTCTCTCTTGCAAGTTTCCCCAGATGCTGCCCTTCCTTCCAAGCAGCAAGGGAAGAAGGACACTGCCACCCTACACACTTCCCTTTGAGGCCACATTTTGCTGTCCCGGCATGTGCGCATTGACTCCACCGCCGCCCTCCATTGAGCTGTGCACTGAATGATGATGAAGTGACATCGTCATGGCAACACGTGTTGACTTCCCGGTTGCATAGCAACCTGATGCAGGCTGATGTAAGAGGTGTGCTTGTTTCCTCTGCTGGCTGCGCTCCTTTGATGTGCCTACGAGATTCGGGCTTGTTTTAGTCTATTTTCTTTCATTTTCTGGACATGTTGTGACATCAGTGTGATGCTGTGTGTGTGCACAGAGGAAAAGAGATAAAGCTTATCTCCTTCAAACGCCCTCCTTGGGGCACTAAGATACACAGCTCGTTTTTAGAGGCTCGATGGTATTCAATCTTGTCATTATTTTGTGTAATATAGACTCGAGGAGACCGGAAGACACCGTTAAGTGATTTTGTCTCAAGCTTCCCTCTTGATTTTGCATAGCCTTTTCCAAATGCCCAATATCCTTGCATGTGGGGCAGGTCTGCTTTTCGTGGCATCACAGCTCAGTGTCACAGAGAAGCTGCAGGTCTGATTTTTGTGCAGTCGGCTGGGTTTGCTGTTTCATGGGGCATCTGCAGTGAAGGAAGACTACTAAATCCTTGTTTACAGTCATCAGGTTGAATTTTTGCACCCAACAGGAAATGATAAAAATCTGCAATGCCCTTCTTGCTGAAGGCTGTGTTTCTTTATACTGAAGCAGAAGAAAGTTTGTCCATGTAGATCAATGGAAGATGGAGAAGCACTTCTGGTAATGGCACGCGTGGCCCAGGGAGAGAATTAGAATATCCTGAGTTGGAAAGGAGCTGGAGAGATCACTGAGTCCAACTCCTGAAGCAGCAGGGTATGAGACAGTCTGGAAGGGGAAAGGACAATATGCCCTTATGGACCAGACTCTGTTTAGGGTACCACAGACGTAGGGACCACCATGGGAATGCCAGGACCTCCTCCGTCAGCCATTTCAACTCAGAGAGGGGTGAAACGGGAGATAAGGGCCTCCTGCATACAGACCTGTGCCAATATCTTTCTGTACTACGTGAGGTGATAAGACTGGGCACCTGGGGATGATACCTGTTGCATCATTCATGAGCAGGCATTGCCCTAACTGGTTTTGGAGAGAGAGTGCTTAGCATGGGAACCTACTGGTGTCCATTAAGGGGAGAAAGTCCCCACTCCCATCAGAAAATCCGTGTATGCCCCGATAACTCCAAAATCTAAATTCTGATCACAGTAAATACACAGTAAATAGGAAAAAAAAAAACCCAAACGCTGTCAGGTTTCATCAGTGTGGCATCACCAGTGCTGTAATGTAGTGGTTTCAGAGTCAAAGCACACCTGTAACCAAGTTTTCCTATCGCCAGATCCAGGAGATGTAGATGCAGAAATCTGAAAGGAGATCTTGATCATTTATCATGCCAAAGACAGGCTGAATCTCTGTATTCATCAGTCCTCAAATGTGTGGGGTGTTATTTAGTGACGGCAGCCTCCAAACAGCTCTTCCACATGACTGATGGCAACAGAAAATCATCTGTCACTGCTTGGCTTCAGGCTCTTCCAGCAAAACCATGTGTTTGCTCAAAGAAGAAAAATACTTTGACAGAATCTGTGGGAGGCTGTGAGGGCTCAAACCCGAAAAAGTTATTGTTGGCCCTTGACATGTGCTTGGGAGAGGCTGTGGCAGCCTTTAAAAGACCTCTTCAGTGTCACAGAGGTGACCAACTGGCTGGCACAGCTCTCCCACCTCTCACCCCATGCCCTTCACCTCTCCTCTGTAATTCTCTGTAAAGCAGAGAATCTCTCTCATTTCTTCTCTCAAATTTCTTCTACCCCTGTAGGGGCATTAACAAATTGCATTATGATTTCTTTCCTGTCCCCATTTGGCCAAAACCCATTTGGCCATTTCACTTTTTGGAGGAACAGAAATATTTGTTAAGTATGCCATTGTTTTCACACTTATTCCTGGGAACTAAAGCTCTGAACAGAGGAGCACGTGGACGTGTGGCACACTGTCCTGCTCACAGCCTTGGCGCTGCTGTCAGATGAGCTGAACAATCAAAGCCCCACAGAGGTGGGAGTGCTGACCTTACTTACAACAGCTCTTCTGCTGCCTATTGTGCTTGGATGAAACCACTTATTCTTGTCTGCCTTTGCTTTGCAGCCCATTCACAGGAAAACTGGGAGCACTGGGTCTGCTTCCCCACCAGGAGTGAAAAAAGCAGTGCTGGTGGATGATGCTTGCTGTTACTTTTCAGGGAAGGCAATTGCTACTTTTTTTTTTTTTTTTTCTTTTTTTTCCATCAAATACTGAGACAACTACTCTGTTTATAGATTGATCTGTTTGCTTCAGTTTTGTCTCCTTCGATTGATTTTCTGCAAGTCAGACATGAGTGTTTTGGTGGAGAAGAATGCTCTCCCATGCGTTTGGCACCATGCTTGTCCAGGAAACAAAGGAAAATGATTTTTTTCTGAGCAACTCCATGTCCTTGCAGCCTTTTTGACAGCAGGCAAAAATGTTCTGTGGCTTTCATACTGGGACTTTCATTGCACTTCCCAATGTGTAAACGAAGCGGCAAGAAAAGCATCTGAGCTGATGTAAGACTGAGCAGTCTGCCAAGAGAGACAACTGCCCGTGTTATGTCTTTGTGGACGGGTATTGTCTGACCAGCTCCTGGACAGATGTGCTGGAAAGATCTCCAAGCAGTCTAGTATGGCCTTTGCTTATTGCTGGAGAGGGCTTTCTAGTATTCAGTTTCTACCTTTCTTCAAACAGTTGGCATCTTTTTTAATCCCAGCTCAACCTATCTTTCCCCATCAGTCATGTTTGGAAGAGCCATGGTTATTCTCATTGCCCCGCAATGGGCAGCACAATAGGACCCCAGCCAGGGTCCTACCTCTTCTCTTGGTCCAAGGAAGCGCATGGCCCTTTGCTGGTTTCCTGGATCTACACTGAGCTCCACCACAGCCAAGGTATCACGTTCCAGGTGCTCCCAAGAGGATTTCACCTGATGCAGGTTTCAGGATGGACACCACACTGGGCTCCAGCCCTTTGCAGCTCAGTGATGCTCTGGTGGCTGCCTGTCACAACTCTGAGGACAGGGCCAGGACAGGGCAGATGCTGTGTGGGCTGTTATGGCTCAGAGATGCAACAGCTGACAGAGATGTGTCATGCTGCAAGAGGAAATAAGGAAATAAAAGCCCAAAACCAAAGGCAAAAACAAGCGGTAGTGATTTGCCTCCAAAGTCGCTCATTCCAACCGTGCTTGAAAAGTGCCTCTGCATAACATGTAGCGCTATATTTGTCTGCGAGGCAGGAAGAGAGGGAGAGAAAATATTTTTCCGTTGAGGTCATTCTTGCTCACTTTTTCCTCTAAGAAAACCAACATGCTCCCTCACCCTTGCTGTTGCCCACCATGCTGCAGGCCCACAGCCCTGGGTTCCCCATGATAACATCAGGCAGAGTCTTCAGAGCTCCAGTTTTCACATCTCTTTGCAATTTCTGTCCCATCTTCTACCCCTGCATCAATCCCACTTACACTTCCAACCTCACTCCCATCTGAATGTCCAAGCAGGAAGAAGCAGTGAAAAGCCTCTGCCTGTGGCTGGTTCCCCATGGTCCAGAGCAGTTATAAGGGGAAAGCATCAAAAGGGCGGTGCTGAAAAGGAAAAGGGACTGAAGTAGGAACATGAAAATATTGAGCAGACCTCAGCTGGAACACCTCTTCTTCCCCTGCCCAGGGAGATGTCCAATCCTGCAATGGAAGAATTTCTCTAACGCTATCCTTGAAACACTTTAATGTTTTAGTGTAGGCAAGGTTTGGTTTTTCCTATAGGGGGATCACAGGATCACAAAACTCTGATTCAAGTCTTTTGTTTGTTTTTGGCTTGAAATTACCCCCACAGCTGGAAGACTTTAATATTACCATAGGAAAACTAAATGGAACTACTGACATTTCTTAATTCCCTGGGTACCAAACTCAAAAATGCAAAATGGCAGCTGTGCAATTCACGGAGAGCTGTTGTGTCTTTTCTTGCCTGGTTGTGGCTGTCAGAAATGAAGATTACTTCATTTGAAGAGCCTTTAAGCTGTGCTTGAAACAAAGCAGGAAGAGCTGGCAGCCTGGAAGTGCTGCTGATGGCTTCCTGCACTGAGAAGGGGGCACCACGGAGAATGAGAATGAGCTCCCTATGAAGCACTTGTTTGCAGAGCCCACTCATTGGCCAGTTTTCATAGAATCACAGAATCATTAAGGTTGGAAAGGACCACTAAGATCATCATGTCCAACCACCAACAAAATCCTGCTTCCTTATCTGAACTTCTTCATGCAGCAAAGCATGTAAAAAAATTGTAAAACTGTAATCTCTATTTCCAAATGTAAGAAGTCTCTCGTGTTTATTGTCTATTTCATAGAATGGTTCGAGTTGGAAGAGACCCTTAAAGGCCATCTAGTCCAACTGCCCTGCAGTAAGCAGGGACACCCACAGCTCCATCAGGTGCTCAGAGCTCTGTACAGCCTTACCTTGAATGTCTCCAAGGATGGGGCATCCACCACCTCTCTGGGCAACCTGTGCCAGTGCCTCACCACGCTTAGTGTAAAAATCTTTTTCCCTGTACCCAACCTAGATGTCCCCTCTTTTAGTTTGAAACCATTTCTCTTTTTCCTATCACAACAGACCCCACTGAAGAGCCTGCCCTCTTCTTTCTTCTAGCCACACATTAGATACTGACAGGCCGCTCTTAGGCCTCCCCGTACCCTTCCCTTCTCTCAGCCTGTGCTCATAGAGAGGTGTTCCATCCCTTGGCCCATTTTTGTGGCCCTCCTCTGGACACACTCCAAAAGAATATAAGAAGATGATGAGAGGAGAGGAAGTTCCCACAGTGGATAAAGGTTGTGATTCAGTTCCCTTTCCTGAAAAAAAGGGGGCAAGATGTAACATGAGTGCCTTGTAGGTACGATGCTGGTGTTGCAGCAAGCAGATGGTTCCTGCTGATGCCACATTGGCTCTATTGAAGTGGAGTGGGATGAGACAGCTGGGACACAAGCATCCCTGGGCCCTGCCCCACCCCCAGTCCTGCAGATTTGGTCCCTTCTTGCATATGCAGCTCTAAGTGGATTCCAGCAGGATTGGTAGGGATTTGGGGAGAGGCAGATTAGAGAGCTAGCTGTAGGCAAATGCAATTATGGAAAAGTAGTTCAATGACTAGATTTATGTGCCCCCAGCCCAACACAGAATTATACCCAGGATCTGAGCAAACTTAGGATAAACAGATATCAGACACTAGACGTGGAAATTACAAAAGATCTGGAGAATGGCCAGTGCCTGCAGCTGAAGGAACAGTCCTGGTATTCTTGTCATCAATCAGAGCCTTTGCATGGACCCTGCCCTGGGCCAGGCTGCCCTTCTCCATGGGCAAAAGCCAAAGCCCCTCCTTCCCTCTCAGCTCTCCAGACTCATCCTTTGCTCAAGTGAAGTTCCAGGTGGTGGAGGCCCACAGAATGCCACCACTAACAGCAAGTACCTCACCCAGGTGTGTCAGGCTCTGCTCAGTGCAGTATGAGATCCTCTGCTTCTTCCTCTGCTGGCTTCAGCAGCAGCTGCTCTCCTCACTCTTGCCATTCTGATGGCAGAGCATGGGCCAGTATTAAACAGGGAAGGGACAATCTAGCACTGCCACATCAAGCTGCAAATTAGGTTTGTTTCCAAACTGCCATTTCAGCCATTAAAAAGGGGAAAACAGATACTTTTCCTCAAAGGGAAGAGAAGTTTTCAGAAAGGCACTACATCCAATGCTTTCACTGCGAAGAAGTACCTGAGGGATGGTGGAGGCCTCGAGGTTTGTCCTCAGCTGAAGCTTTTCAGCTCTTTCCTCCACACCCCGCATCCCGAGGCCCACCTGCTGGATGCTCCACGGGGACGGCTCGGCTTTGCTGCTTCGGAGAGCCTCGAAACGAGTCCGCAGATCAAGCGTGCCACCTGCAGCCCGTGCCTGGGACTGCGGGAGGCTCTGCTGCTGCGCCAACAGCAGGGGTGGGCAAGCAGCCCCTTCCTTCAGCAGCCCCTTCCTTCTCAGCTAAACTGTCTGTGCTTAAACTTCCCAGAGGTGAGAACAGGAGAAATGGGGTTTTTAAGAGGAACGAAGAGACTGAATGAGAGATATTTCCCTAATAATTGAGTCGTTAAAACACACACCTTAAATCACAAAAGGAGATAAAGCTCAGGGGTGTGCTGCCCTATCAGGAGTGAGGAGGGTTTACAGCTGTGCTCTTTCTCAAGGGTTCTTCTCCAACCCATCCATTTTACATGTGAGAGGGAGAAATAGTTTCATTCAGCTGCTTTGGCCCGGCAATTCCAACTGGCTGAAGTTCTGTATGTCTTTGGTTGTGGGGTTTTGTCCAGGAAGACATTAAGGAGTTTGGCTGTTTCTCCAAAGAGTGGGTCATAGAATCACTGGCTAGAAAAGACCTCTAAGATCACAATGTCCATCCCCACTAACCGTGTGCCTCCCTAGTTGAGCCTAGGCCTTCCTAAAGGCTCTCCAGTTGTTCAGTCAAAATTAAATGGTTTGGTTTTTTTTTCAGCAATCCTGCCCTTTTCTTAATCTTGTTTTTGCTCTGCTATTGACTTAGAGAAAGAAATAACTCTTCTACACCTCAGTTCCCCCACCAAGACAACAGAACCAATTCACCCACAAAGTGTTTTGAAAGCCACAGATGCCTAATGGAGTGATTTTTGGTTAGTGGTATGGCAGAAATGCATCATTATACTGAAATATCCAGATGCTCGTGCTTAACATCTCACACAAAATCACCATCTCAGTCCATTCATCAGGTAAATTATGCCTTTATGAGCAACTTTTGAATGCTTCTAATACAGGTCACTGGGAATGTGGCCACTGTTGGCCCAGCAGGACGTGCACTGCAGGCACATCCTGGAGAGCCTGCATGGACTGCAAACGGCATCTTGAGTCATTCCCAACAGCATGACCCTGTCCCCCCTCCTCCCCCAAAGCTGTAACAAATGAAATTGCACCAGAAATACAGAAGTGATTTTTCCTGATGTGATTTAATGGAAACTGAATTCCTCTATCCCATACTCTGAACTTTGGCTTTAGAAAGTGTCTTCTATCTATGAAGAAGTATCTGCAAAGTCGTGCTTCCACCTCCGGGCAGCAGAGATGAGTGAGTGCTGACATCTGCCTTCTTTAGCACTTGCTTCTATTAAATGGGCATTAAAAGAGAGGGCTGGAGCTGTGGCCTGCTGTACGCCTTGAGGTACAAATGTTCACATGTAGTGCTTCAAGGGATGCCTGCAGCCCCTGAATGGTCAAACAGTTCCTCCTACAGAGATCCCCCATCTCCTTTCCTAAATGCATTCCTCTTAAACACACATTGCTATTCGCACAGCAATCTTTCTTCTCACACAACCAGGTTTGATTCAGTGGCAGCTTGGCATTTGGAGCTGAATAGCACTGAATCTAATATATGGCATATTAAACAAGGAAATGCTATTTTCTAAAGTGGATGGCTATGTTCCTTGTTTAATGAGCATCAGCCTCACGTAGCAGTTTGTCCCATGAGGAAGGGAGCTGGGTAGGTGCTCTGAAACTATAGCATATAACATTTCCCCAGGGTGCTACAAAAGGTGATGTCCCCACCACCAAAAAAAATGCCAGGCTAGCCCCAGTAGATGAGTAGAATGGAACATCAGATCACTTTTATCATCATGCTTAAAGAAAGGAAGTGAAGTTTGTGTGGGGGTTACTGAGAAGTTACAGATATTTTTCAGTTTTAAGTACCGTGACACGTAAGCAAATAAGAAAACCCAGCTTCATGCCTCCAGCATTTGGTTCTTCTAGAGCCCCATGGATGGGATTGAATGGGATGATCTGGAGGTGCCTCATACCAAATTGGAGAAAAGCCACCTGAAAGAGAGTTAAAGAGACTTGCTCAGAACACAGACATCTGGAGGTCAAGCTCTGGAAATCATTGAGGCTATTTTGCACATCAGAATTTTGCAACACAATCCATGTGTTCTTCCACACTACTCATGATTTGTCCAGCTGTAGCTTGAAGAGTTTCTGTCCTCTGAGGGGCCCGTGCTGTTGCTGCCCAATCACCATTTGCAAGCAAGTGGGGAACTACTGAAGTGAAAGCTTACAAACACCCTACAGGCAAAATTTCATTCAAAACTGGTAAGTGAAAATTATGATTAATGATCTATTTGCAGAAGTTATGATCGGTTTATGAATGATTCATGAAAGGAGAAAAGGAGACTAAATAGACTATGAATATCATTTGCAGGCAGTAATTTAAGCAACTTAATCCCCAAAGTGAGATCCTTCTAGTCTCATATTTACCTAATAGCACCATGTGGTGCAAGGGGTGGGTGCTGTGTTGTTAATAACCTGCTTCTACCCAGCATGAATACACCAAAATACAGCATTGTTGTGACAAAGGGAAGGTGTGCTGTCCAAGGCAAGTCTGCAAAGGGCAAACCTTCAGGTAAATAACTACAAACACACTTGGAGGGGTGAAAGCATCGCAGTGTTGAGCAGTGAGGCCCAGCTCCTGCTGCAGCTGAGCACAGCAGCTGCAATTAGCAGCCAAGGCAGGGGAGCAGCTGGGCATGAAGACTGTCCTGGAGCCAAGGGTGAAAGGCACAGAGCCTTGGGTCTGAATCCATCTCTCTGTCTCCCCTGGGATTGGGATTTATTGTCTATTTCCCCTTCTAACTTCTCATTGAAGCTGGCATTCAATGTCAACTGCCTTCAGAAACAGGATGTGAGATACCAGACGTTCTGTTTATGTATTATTTATGATCACAAAATCTGTCTATAGAAAGCCTCAGATGGATGCAGTCTCTGAATTCCAATGAAGACCCTGAGTTTGGTTTTGGTTTGTTTTTTTTTTTTTCACTCAGATTTTGAACAGGGTTGATAAGGCAAGTGTGTGACTTTGCCAAAGGTACACAGTGAGTTTCTGGGTCCAACCTCAGCACATCAGCCGGGCACTTCTGGTTCTTCACCATGCCCTTTCTCTAAGGATTGGTTTTCATCTCTGTTTTCTCCTCAGTGCCAGCTGTTTGGAACCAGACTAATGCTTTAACACTGCAATTGGGAACAGCTGCATCCCAGTGGATTAACCAAAGTATGATGGCTGAGGTGGTTTATTAATGGGACAAGTTTTGTAGGAAAGGTACAGTCCTTCTCTAGAACCAACTAGCAAAGCTGGAAGATTTAAGTAAACTTAGGGGGCACTTAATGCTTCTCTCCAGGTCTGACATGGAGGAAGCAAGCACCGAATGAAACACAAGGTGGGGATTGTTGTTCAAAAATAAACTAAATTATGTAATACAGTTAAAAATGGGCTATCAAACTAACAAAAAGATCACATCTCTAGTTGGTTTTAAAGTTGCCACTTCTAGGTAAGATGTGCAGAAGTAATTTCAGACCTCAGAGGCAGACAAAAAAGCTAAGTTCTACTAACTGATCTGTTGTAAATGTGTCACTTCACGTGGAGAAAGAGGGCAAGGGCAAACTGAGCCATTGGCAGTCTGAGCACCCTGTAGTGCCATCAGTAATTCCCAAGGAAAAAATGCCAGAAGTCCAGTTACTGTCCATTTCCCTTTGCAGCCCTTAGATGCCATTGCAATCCCTCCCCAGCACCCTCACACTGCAGCTCTCACCTTTTTTCTTCCTTTCTAATCCAACCATAGCCCAAGGTGAGCTGTCTGTAAAGCCCCCCCCAGACTCGTGTTCCCTAAGGGCACCACCCCTTCTCAGTGTGTACAGTACTAAGGAGATTTCTCACCAGCACATTGAGCTCTGACAACTCTTCAGATGTACATGACAAGAGTCAGCCACTGGAAAAAGAAAAAGGCATATTAAGATAGTGATGTTGCACTAAGTCTTCAGCCTTGTGTCTCAGTACCTTCAGGCTGCAACCCAGTCACTGTGGTCCTTTTGTCCTGCACAGAACAGTTAAGGGGTTTTGAAGCTGTCTTTTTCCCTTACTACAATTCAGACCCAGAAACACCTTCCATATGTTACTTTCCATGATAAATTACTGCAGCAGCTGCAGTGGGAGCAATAGCTGGGAAAGGATGGCACCTGCATGGCTGCGAGCAGAAGAGGTAGCAGGCTCCAGGAATGTGGTTATCCTTTTAATAAAACCTTTTAAACACTGTTTTGTCAGAAAAAAAATAGCTTCCAGACTGATAAAATGCAGCACTCAGGCACATCACTGTAGAGCACAGCAGGATTTTTTGCTTTAGATTGGCTGATGAAAAGCTCACTATATCCCCATTCAGCTAGCTATCTAGGCTGTGCTTTGTAAGACAAACAGCAACAGCAAGCACTTGTCTGTTCTTTCTTTCATAAAAGCAAGCTGTTTTGCAGTCCAGAACTAACAGATGGGGCAGTATGAAATGAGGGCATGGATTTTTCTTGTTTGTTTTTGTCACTTCCTCAAAGCCACTATAAGTAACGTTTCCACCAGTGACAGAACTGGGAGTGCATGAGAAGGGACGGTGTTTTGGATGTGGTTGGCCACCACTGAGCTGTCCTCATACTAGTAAGGCTGTGTGAGTAGAGATCCCCAGGTAATACCTCTTGAGGTCCATTATGCACACCCAGCCAGGTAAAACCCACACTGCAGCAAAGCTCCTGCCAACACCCACAGCACTGACACAACCCCCTTAGCATCATCCTCCTGCTAACTTAACTCTGTGGTCCTGCTGTGGAGCTGGAGAGAAGGAAGGAGCATCCTTACCTCCATCACCGTCATCAAAACTTGTGGTCCACCTTTGGCTAAGTTTTGAAATGCATCTAGGAGTAGAACAAAGAAAAGCTTATTTCAGGAGGAAGAAGCAAGAATGCAACACAAACTGCAAAATAAGCCCTGGAGCAGAGCTGTGGTCCTCGTGTTGGAACGTTCTGCCTCACTCAAGTGCCCACATACACTGTCCTGCCGGGCCACATCATATTTCTGTGCTGGGCACCCCCTGTGCCTCGGCCCTAGCATCACAGCAAGTGAAGCATCCCAACTGCACATCCACAATTAAGCAAAAATATAGGAACAGGAGCACTCCACGTGACTGCTCTCATCTCCTCCTGTGATTTGTTTCAGTGGTACCTCCTGCCTGAAGGATGACGGCGAACAGCAGACTAATGAAACATCTTCCCCCAGGGAAACTTGCGTTGGTCCTTTTCCACCCTCCCTTTCAGTGAGTGATTACAATGTGCCCTGAGGAAAATGATTCTCTTGATGTCATTAGTATGCCTTATGAGGTTTTTCCAGGGAATAGAAATGCAGATGCTGCTGTTATTCATCTCGGGTTTGAAATTAACGTTGCTTAACATTTTCTGACAGAACCCTTTGCCATCAGAAAATTTGAATTCATTCAAACGCTGATATTCTAAAAGCACATTTCTATTTCAGCTTGTCTAGAAGCAGCGTTAGGAAACCTAAGTGTTTGGATGAAACAAAAACACGGCATTATGAGCTCCTATTTATTTCAAAATTACTTTTCTCTTAGAAATGTGCAGTTATAAACAGTAATGAAAAGTTAAATCTAAGTTTGTCTGTCCTTGAATGAAAAATTGCTCTAGGAGCCTTTTTCAAAACCTACCCAGCTTTAGAGAAATGGAAGGTTGCTGGGAGAGCGTAGGAACAGGGCACAAAGCCCCACTGCTCATCAGCCCCTTAGGACAAGAAGGTTTCCTGGGCTCAAAGGCAACCAGAGTTACCTATATGACCCAGAGAGAAGGGGGGGAGGAAAATCAACATAATGAAGAACAGCCACCCCATACTGCTTTGAAGAAAGTGCATAGAGCAAAGAAATGCCCACATTGCACCCAGCTCCTTAGCAAGGCTGTATTTGCAGGCCAGCTTCTGTTCAGCAGTCTTTCTAGGAAAAAAATGCAGTGCTGAAGTTGCCTCCTCTGAGCAGAAGTGCCCCTTTACTGCTTCATTACCTCCAGTTAAATAGAATTTGCAAAGAAGCTGTTGCTTTTGGTTTGGGTCTCATCTCTGGCGATCCTGAAAGGATGAGTAATGATTCAGTGAGACAGATCTGTCTCCACTGCTGCATTCACATCCCCATAAAGGTGGAATGTCTTTTCTTTCCACTTGGCTCCCGTATCCACTCCTCTAAAAATCTTACAGTGAGTTGAAAAGATTGGGAAATGCATTACACATTAAACCCTCTGTAAAGCAATAAATGAAAGGCTCGAGAACATCTTTAGACACTCATTACAGGAGGCAATGAGATTTTTAAAGATTCTTGTCCAAATGGATTTAAAGGAGTTGTCTTTACGCTGGCACTTAAAACATAAAAGGACATTTTTTATGATGAAAAAATTGCTCCGGGACTGCATTAGGCATAAGAATTCCCATCTACGGTAAGTGACATAATCATAGAAATAAAGACATTTAAAAGTTGTATTTTTAGTGAAAGTATTAAGATTGGGACATGCTCTGACTATATGAGCAGCTTCTGTGTTCTGTTGAAATGGAATTTTAGGCAGTCTCATCACCCAGGCAGATCTGCTGACAACTGGTGATTCCTAAAACATCACTGCTAAAACATGGGCAAAAAATAACCCCCCAACTCCACGTGCTGCTGAAACACAGCTCATTCCAAAGATGAACTAAATTGCTGTAGCAATGTTCTAGCATGTGGGTTACAATTGCTGGATTTCTTTAACTATTGCTATTTCCAGTCCAAATGCTTATAATTATAGCAGTAAAAACTATGCTTTTATAAAACAGAATTAGGCACTTTCATTTACAGTCACTCCCTTCCTTGCCAGACAATACAAGGACACAACAGAGGAAATGCATTTGTTTTCCCACTGAAAGGGTCTCACGCCTTCTCCTTACCAAAACTTTGGGAGAACTGTGCTGAAGACAGAGGGAATACCTCTCCAGTTAAAGAAATAGAAATAAAAAAGAGAAAGCCTTCCATTTCATAGGAGGCACAGAGGAGACCTTATGGCTCTCCACAGCTGCCTGACAGGAGTCGTAGGAAGGTGGGAGTTGGCCTCTTCTCCCAGGTAAGAGCGATAGGATGAGAGACAGCGGCCTCAAGTTGCACCAGGGGTTGTTCAGGTTGGGTATTGAGAACAAATTTGTCTCAGGAAGAGCAGTGAGGCACTGGAACATGGGCTGCCCAGGGTGGTGGTGGAGTCATCATCCCGGGAGGTGTTCAAGGACCACGGAGATATGGCTCTGAGGGATGTGCTCTGGAGCGGTCTCAGGCATGGGCTGATGGTTGGACTAAATGATCTTAGAGGTCTTTCCAACCTTAACAGTTCCCTGATACACTCACTGGGCATGAGTGAACACAGTCTCCCTCCTGTGGTATAGGCAATGCCAGCTTAGAGGAAGATCTAGTGCAAAACAGGATGCTCAAGCTTTTGTGAAAGGGCACCAATGCAGGGACATTTGGGAAAATTAGCCTGTCTTAGTGCACGGGAGCTCTCAGGATAAGCCTAAGTCCAAAGGGATGGCTGGGCCCAGATTTTTGGCCCATGCAGTTCCGTAAGCCTGTATTATGGTGTCTGGCAGTTTTTCCCTTGCCTCCTTCTGTCAGCCCGGCTTTGCAGGCACCCTGTGGTAAAGCTCCAGGACTCACAGGTCATGGTTTCAAGGCGCAGCATGCAGCTCACGAAGTCAGCAAAGCCCATTCTCCTGTTCACACTGCCGTAGCGCAGGGCCATCAGGCGCAGGATCTGCTCACTGACCGGCAGGCCTGTGGGGGAAAGCAGAAGGACAGCACCTGGGGTCACTGCAGGGTGACAGACTGGCCCTGCTGGCCTCGTGCTCTTACAGATAAGCCCTCCTCCCTGTCAGACTGGGTGCCCTCTGGGCCCCCACACAGAAGATGCCTTCCTCCAGCTGTGGGAGCAAGAGCTGGGGCAGGGTAGTGGGGAATCCAAGCCCTTCTCGTCACATGAACTGTGGTTATTGTAGAATTCAAGATTCTAGGGTTGTCTTACTTTGCATTTTTAGCTTTTATTTTCTCTAATAAATGATGATTTTCTTTTCTGTGGTGCATAACTGCTAAAGTCTGAGCACTCACAATACCACCAGCATTTTCTGCTAAGCAGGAATAGGACGTACTGCTATTATGCAGTACAGCATGCCCAGGATTCTTAATTTTTACATTTTCTCTTGTATCAGAAAATGGTGAAAGGTGCATTTCATTTTATATTAGCTGATTATTCAGTATTTGTGTCACAGTCTATTTGGATGGAAATTGGTATTCAACTGAATGAACAAAAGTTGCCTATTAGAATGATTCTTTTGTAAGTTAAATAGAACTTCCCTAAATATGCCGGCTACCTAAGACATGATTTAAATATTTTTTGGTCTAAAAGCTGATTTACTAAATAAAAGAGAAATGTTATGCACTGATAGCTTCAGGCTAACGCATTCTTTGTGACTCCAGAAAGTCTCATTTGCTCACCCCCAGTTTTTAGCAGCTCAGTGGCAAGTGAAAGGGCCTTTCCCCCTTTTACCAACCGGTTCGAGACTTTTTGGTTTTAAATGAATTCATAATCAAGCCAAATTAGTTTGAAAAGAAGGGAACGGTTTCTCTACAGCTTTATGGGGAGAGATGCAACTAATGGAGGTGGGTTAGCACAATGACAAACCCTGTTTGCACAAGCCTACCTGGAGAAGGTCCCCAGCAGGAATCTCACACACAGTGTCCAATAGTTATGTAACGGAAACACATTTGTGCTTATCCCTTCCAATAGCTGCACCATTTTGGCTGCTGCTTCTCCCAGTTCTAGCAGAAGTGGCCCGGCAGCTTCTTCACTGCCATTTGGCACATTAGCACTGCCACTGCTCAGGCTTATGCAAATGCTCTGCTTACCTCTCAGCAACAAAAAAGTTACACATCCATTCTGAGCTGATGATTCCCACGAACAGGGCTTCTTCACCGCGTTCCTCCCAGGACAGCACCCACTCCAAGTTCCAGGTATACAAATGGAGTTTCTCTACTGTACGATTACCAGCAGGTTTGCTGTCTGTGAGCTATATTTCATGCACTAAGTCTCTGAAGAGGTAACCCAGCAATAATACCTCCTTTGTGCAAAGGGATACTATGCACTCACTGCAAGTTTCAGCATTCGTGTAGCCAACAGAGGTCAGTGCAAACTAAATAAATGCCTGTCACTGTGGCTTGCCATAATAGACTTAGTCACTGCCTCCCTGAGAAACTCCAGGAATTGGATTATGTGCAAGCTCCTTGCTCCTTTCCCTGGCTGTGTTTTTTGTCTATGACTTAGAGAGACCCTGCAGGCTGTGCTTCTCTGCATCTCTGCTGTTTCCCTTGCTGTGATTCAAAGGGTGGATGCTCCTGTATGGGTGGGGGCAGGTGGGCACAGCGCCATGCAGCAAAGAAAAGCTTTCTGTGCAAAATGAACTTTCTGTCTCAGTGCCCTGAAACAATGCAGTATTCTGAGCAGAGCTGTGATCCAACTGGCACTTCTGTGCATTCCAAACTGCTTTACTCCTGAAGCCCTTTCTTGTTTTCATCCTTTTCTGCAAGGACAGGAGCTGCTCAGCACACCTGGACATACCTGCTGTCTGTATTGCACTCTTCAGTTCAGATATATCAAGAAATCCAGAACGATTTCTGTCTTCTCTCTTGAAGAGATCCTGAAAAACAGCAGAAAAGCAGATTTCAGGCCTTCATCACTGCTCTTCAAATGTATTGCTACATCTAATTAGGTAGGATGCTTTCCTTCCTTAATAAATTCACTGCAAGGAAGTCAACAGATAACATAGGGTGACCATGACAAGACAGACCATTTCCAGAAGGCTCAGTCAGTATATTATAACATTAAAAAATTCCACTTTGGGGTGGGTTAAAGCCTTTTTGCTCACTTTCCTGGTTTATGTACACAGGCAACAATAGGAATATTCATACTTCCACTGACAAAAGCACATTGTCTGTAATACATTAAATCTGCCGGGATTCCCCATGTCCCAGAATGGCATCTTTCCCAACAAACCTAAGGTACTGTCAATGGGAAGGGCATTGCTGCTCAGCAGGGAACTGGCACCCCGCTGTTCTAGGTAGGCACAGACTTTCTCGAGAGTGACCGAACAAAGCACAGTCTGCCCATCTTGGAGAAAAGAGTACCCAGTGGTGGCTATAGATCTGCATCAAATCCTGAGACTAACTGGCCTTCCTGCATTTTTCCACTTCAGAAAGCCCCTGGTTGCTTGCTCACAGCATTTCACACATTCCTGCTTCCTGCCCTCAGCCTTTGCATGGGAAGATGGAAATCTGACCTACTAAAGATGCAATCTTGGCAACATCTTTCCCCATGCTACTTTGATATTGCAGTGTCTGCACCTTGCTGATAAAAAACCAAAACAAAACAGGAGTATGGTGGTGGCAGAGAGAGCAACCCCATATATACCATGTACTTGATGACACTTCGCCAGAGGCTCCCAAACTCCTGCAGCGTGAGTTGTCCATTTGAACTGAGCTGTGCATTTAGTTAAGAATCAAGCAGTTAATGAGCTAAACCTGGTGATGCCTTCATTGCTGAGGATGCTGCCTTCATGTAAAGGGAGTCTTAAGATGCAGCCTTTTCTGTTTGTTGCTTTGTGTTTAGAAGGACAAGATCTTTTCTGGTCCCAATGATGCTCAGAGTTAAATTTGCCTTTTCTGGCAATTTGTACAGCTGCTCATATCTATGCTCCCAAACAACAAAAGGTTTCTATTTCTATGATGTCTTTAACCACAAGGGTTCCTGAAGCAATCTCTGCAGCTGACATTGGGCCCCTGAGCACAGCAGCTGCTGAGGAGGAGCAGAACCTTATGCTCCAGTCCACACGTGCTCTTCTGCATGGGACAGCATGAGATCAGCTCTGGCTGGATCCTTCTGGGAGAAGAGGCAGTAAAGGAGCCAAGAACACACAGAGCTGATGCCTGTTCTCAGAAGCCATGGAGATGCTGCAAGCAAGAAAACACTTCACTACAAGCTACATGAGCCTACAAGTGAAACCTGACTGAAAAAATGCTGCTATCATTTTTGTAGGCCACGATAGGTCACACTGTATGTGGGCTGTATGCAGCCCAGAGAATGAAAATCCACCTTGAATCAAAGTAGAGCAGTGGCTTTGTCAGCGGTTTGCACGTGCCACGCATTCACAGTGCCCACTTAGCCTAGCAGTTGCTTTGGAAAGGGGGGAAACTTCTTTTGCTTGCAAGATGGAGAAACCTGGAAAGAGAGGGATTGCACAGCACTTTTATACATTCCTTGTCAGTTTCTAAAGATCTGAAAATGTCTCGAAATTATTCCAAGGCATGGAAGGAAAGAGATGGAGAGCCAGCAATTGGGAGAAAACACACAAGGGAGGATTTATGTTTTCATCAAGGAGTCTTCTTGTTCTACAATGGCCAGCAATGTATTTCCAGTGTTGTTAACAATAAAATGACTGTGGATCCATCTAAATAGGGAAGGCACATTGGGAAGGATGAATGGCCTGCCAGTCTCAGGCACATGGCTGTGATTGGGCAAAGACAGTGTTTTCCCTTACCGCAGCTCTGCTGGCAAGCTCTGAGAGCTGACATCAGGAGCTTCTGTGACTGCACCAAGCTGTGCCTAGGGCCTGCATCTGAGAGTGAAGCTTAGCAAAGCCCTGGGCCCCACAGAATGGAAAATGAGAGCAAAGGAATTTGTTGCTGGCAGAAGGTATGAAAACAGAGGTTGACTCTCACCTTTCAGCAGAGATGCTCCCAGAGCCAGGGCATGCATAGCAAAGTCCTGCATATAGGCTGTGGCAGCTATTTACTGAGGAATATGGCTAATCTTTACTTGCAGGTTCTCACACTGGGATGCTCAGCTCAGCCATAACTCAAGGCAAGGATGAGCAACACTGGGGAATTTTATTGCTTTTGCTGAAAGGATACATCCATCAGAGCTAAAATGGCTCGACATGAATCAAAGCTGAACTCTCCTCCCAGGCTGGTCATTTCATCTGCAAGGATTGACATAACAGACAGAATCAGCAAAAGCAAGCCCTATATCCAGACCACCACTGGGGGGAAAGGACACCAGTCTTGAAGGCACGTATAACTACACAGCTCCAGATCTAGCTCAAAGTTCTCAAATAGCAATAAGGTCCACTGAAGGAGTCTGATCCTTCTAGAAAACCTCCACCACCTCTTTTCCCATTTGGTGCTCACAGGTAGCTGTTCTGCACTGTCTTGACCCATCTACTCACCCTGCTGGAAGCAGAAGGCTCTTGGAATAAGGATCAGTGAAATGGCAGTGATGAGGAAGGCTGTCCCAGTACTGAACTGGGAGGGGAAGTGTGATATATATATACACACATACACACATACACACATACACACATACATAATACATAAAGATATTACTAAATCTTCTAATTTACGCTAACTAAGGATAGGGAAGCACCAAAGGCAAAAACCTTACCTTGCAGGACCACGTCATTAAGAAGTTGTTGCAACTGCAAAGCATCAATAGCTGAGCCCTAATGCAGAATAAACAGAGATCTGTGAGAGCAAAGTTTACTCCTGCCTCACTTTTGCCCCAAATATCCTTATTCATGCACCATGGCAACTAAGAAAGACCTCTATCAGATGGATGCATGACCGTGCCTGCACAGAAGCACGCCAAAGCCCTACGTGCTGCTGGGCCATTCTCTGTCCTTCCTCGTGAGGGTCTGCATGGCAGCCACAGGTTCCATTGCCATGGAGAGTTTTCAGTGATGGGAGCACTTGCTCCTTTCATCCACGTTCTCTTCACCAAACCCTCAGCAACTGCCTGCTTCTCTCTAAGCCACCCAAACCATCAGCAAACCAGAATGCCTCCCTGCCTGAAACACTGCCAGGGCTTTCAGCAGGGCAGCCCTGTTCATTTTCACCTCAGTGCATTGATACAACTATTAACTGCAAGAGATCCATTGTGCAAAAACTTTCGGCAGTGATATATATATATATTTTGTTCTCCTAAGTCAAGCAGTTTTGTTATAATGGTTTATTAAGCCATTAAACGCATCTCTTGTGAACGCACACAGTTTGGCTCAGAAAAAGCAGGAATCAATTACTCAAACACTCACTGATGTTTGGTTTCCAGCTGCTGCAAAAGCAAATGGAAAATGATGCTGATGAGAGGAGGGAATACCCAAAGCTTTCTAATTGCTTTCTGTACATAAACAAACCAAAGCCAAAAAAAGTACACATGCAAGTCCAAAATCTCCAATCCTCCTCTGAAATCTGGGGATAGCCAATCTGTCCCAGCTAAATTCCTGTTTTTCTGGGGCGTTTTGGCAAGTAAATGAATACCATTTTCAGGGTGCGCCCTTAAGGATGAAGCTACATTTCCAAAAGAACATTTTTATAATTGGGTCAAGTATGACCACTGGAGATTAGTTTTCTTTTTGCAAGTCCACGTGCCTTTTCTTATATATACATTATTATTTTTCAGCAAGATGCTTTAGACAGTGTACCTGCTTCGCATATTTTAGGAAGATAGCCTTATAGGAGCCGTCCTGTTTCTGTCTTGGTACATCCTAGATGAAATAAGAAATGCACACATAAATAATTCAGTTACAAAACAATTGGAAGCAGCAGTCTCAAGATCAAACAATGCTTCAGAGAGGGCTAGAGAATCAGCAGTAGAAATTCAGTTTTAACATCCCTAAAGTGAAGTGGACTAGGAGTAAGAAAGCTACTGCAATGAAGGAAGAAACATTGTTAGGATGCTGTCACTTAGCACAGCTGGGAGGGAGCTTGGGGAAGACAGCTTTAACATCTTGGGGTGGGATTCAGCAAGTCAATACACGAGAATACAAATACCAGGACTGATCTTTATTGATGGCCTTTGGTTGAAACCATTGGCTCAGAGCATGGGAAGATGCACCAGGAAGGGCATGAACCAAGAGAACAGAGCAAGGTGTTAACTTTTCCCTTCTCTCTTACCCCAATGCAGGCTTGGCAGTATCTGAACAACTGCAGCTCTCTATGGAGCCAATATAGAGAAATATCCTTAACTTCATAAAGTTTCAAAAAAAATTGAGCTTAATCCCTAATGCCTTCAGTTTTATTCATACTAGTGAAGTCCAACTGCCTGAATAAGATCAGAAACTGTGGGTACCATAATTTGTCAAAGTCAAAACACTGGCTAATGACAACAGCCAAGTAAACTGACAGCTTGTCAGTGGGAAGAGATAATAAGCCACCATTTATGCTACCTCTCTAACGGGGCTTAATTGCAGGCTGGCAAATGAATCACAAGGGAAGGACTCCATTTCCCATTCTCTTGGAGCACCTCTGGCTTCATAGACCCACACTGAGTTTACACTGCTATAAATAACAGCCTGCTCAGTGGCAGGGTTTTACAAATGACCAGTGACACAGCAGCATGGACTGGACCAATTTACACTAGTTTACAGTAAGGAAGTCCAGCAATAGATTACAGAACCATAGAATCACCACTCTTGCTGAGAAGAGTTTTTTTCCTAATAGCCAATGGTAACTGGATGGTAATTGGGTAGACAAATGTGGGTTGAACTTGAGGTGCACCCAGATTTGAAGTGCAGTTTCCCTTACGTCTGTGAAGATACCTAGGTGAAAATCTGCAGAAATCTGCTTTGTGTCTTACCTCTTTGAACTGTTCTTTATAGAATGCAAACACCATTCCTCTGGGGAGAGCATGTACAACTCTGCTCTCAGCTGTGAAGTGTTTTGAAAAATGGCTATACTGAGCCGTGGAGTTTTAATCAGTTTCTCCCTCTCTCTTCCTTGGATGCATACCCATTTTACAGACATTGCAAGGATCAATTGTCTTTGAAATACTTCCCCCCCCACTTATCACCACCAGTATCAGGATCAGTTTTCAAGGACTCTTACCATTGGCAGCACTGGGTTGAGCTGAGAGTTTGAGTTCCTAGAAAAGAGTTGAGTCACATCACACTGGGAGAAAATGGGCCTTTCCAGAGCACTGTTCTGCAAACACTGCAGGAGGTAGGCAGCGACCAGTTTGTTTGCCCAGCCTACAGCCCAGCACTCACACCTCCTGGCCTGCCTCAGCTCAGTCAATTCTGTTGTGCTGGTCGCAGACCTCCCTGTGCAACTAAATATGAGCAGATCAAAGAGCCTGCTCTGGGGCTGTTGCCCTCCCTCATCTGCGCCGCCGGGCAGCAGCAAAGAAAGGATAACTGGTCTCACTCAGAGCACATCAGGACTAATCTCCCCACACAGAAGCTGGGGCTGTCCTTCCTTGAGCCACGCAAAAAAAATTTAATAGTCAAGGATAAACATAGCATCCAGGCTGTAAAAGGCAACACTGATTTGGGGATCATCATTCCTTCTGAGTCTCACTTAGTAGCAGTTAACATTTAACACTGGAGATGTGCTTTCAGTAGAGAAATCAGGCAAGTCAGTTGTCTATGACATTTCTAAAGCTTGTCTGGCCTCACAAGGAGGTACCTGTCCCCAGACAGTGACCACGGAAGCCCAGCTAGTGCCCTCTGATCACATGGTGCTGATGCTCCCTTCTCCCTTGAACAAACCTCTTAATGCTGTGAGTGCTGCAAAACCCATGGGAAGGGCATGCCCATGCCTTGCCTAGCTTAGTAAGATAAGGGTCACAAGCTCTCCTGGAAAGACCTACATCCAAGGGCTGAACCTTCTTGTGCATGAATCATCACGCTGAAGGCAGACTAGCCCATGGCACAGACTATTCATGTTTGTTATCCATAACTAAGGAGTTGCCTTATTTGGTTCTGAGCCATTTTTACTGAAGGCCAAAACCTAGAAAACAATCTCATTATGAAGATATGGACTTGTGACATAAGAGCTGCAGTCATCTATACTGCAAAACTTACTGAAGGAAAGGCATTGCACATCTGATCCCTAAGGGTTATTTGGTAACGCTGAGCTCTAAGGTTTGCTCTTTAAATAAAGCACACCCAGATATTTATATGCAAATGCAATAAAAGCTGCCTTTGCAGGAACTGTGATACTATTTTTCTACCACACTTATTCTTCAAGGCCCCTCTCTTATGGAGGGGAGCCCTATTGGCCTGTGTATTTGATGACTGGTTGAAGGATTCCAAGTCTTCCACTGCTTTTTGCTTCTTTGCCAACAACCTGATCCATGTAGGGTCCAGCTGGCACAACATAGAAAACTGCATAATGGCTGGTAGGAAAAAGAAGCTTGCAGTCCTCCTTCTATTAAAGAGAGATTTCTTTGCAAGCTGACAGGACATATTCCACAATGATTGCTTATTCGTGCTGCTCTTCGTACCAAAGCTAGGATCCTTGATGGCTACTGATTGCCCTGCTCTGCAATGGCCACCTATGCATCTGTCAGTACACAAACCATCCCCCTTAACACAGTACTCAACACTTAGCTGTGCCGTCCCAGCACATTTATAGAGTACATTACAAGCAAATTGCTACATCAGTTTTCTCGACATTAAATTGTTAAATCCTGGCATACAGCAAATCTGGGGCCTGTATGGAGTACTTGTCATTATCTTACTCATTGTAGTCTTGATTCTTTACAAAAATTCGTAAGACAAATTCAAATTCTCGGTCCTCTGTTGTAGCGGGAATGACAGCATAAGTTCCTGGGCTCAAATTAAAGCAGCTGCTCACGTCTCGTGCAAGGGAGAAATATTGTTTCAGAACTTTGGAGTTCTCCTAAAAGAAAAACAAAGCTGGTTATCTCACCTTCCATGCCAGGAATCAAAGTAAATCAGTAAGCGTACCCAGAGCAGCCTTATGTTCCCACTACTCTCTGGATCTACACTGCATCTACTATGCCTCAGCCTTCACAGAGGCATGGAAAGGTTGAACAGGAGACAAACTTTGTCCAAGCACACATCAATAATACAAAAAGTTGGAAGAAGTGGGGAAAAAAGGAAAATAAAATATACTTAAGTGGCTTTGAAGAGAACTTCAATTAACAGTAAGGATGCTCTTACTAAAACCTTCCTGAGATCTAGCATAACCCAGGGAGCTCGCTAAGCATCTCACTTTGATAACAATGCTTCAAGGATCACAACTCAGACCTTCCAGCAAGTGTCACAAGGAAACAGAACGTTCTCATCTTTCTTCTGTTATTCCAGTATGTTTGCTGAGATGAAACTAATATAATGCAACAGCTATTATTATGATGACATGTAAAGATAGCATAATAAAAAACCCTTACTAAACACATTCCCCCAAATATTTCAGCATGTATAAATTCCATTTAGAATGGTTGTACAGCGTGGCAGGGTTATTTATGAGCCATGCCTTTGGGAGAAAAATAGCATAAAACTGCTATTCCGGGAGGGAGAAAAAAGATGACTACTGTTACAGAGGACTGGGAGGTATGCAGACTGCCAGATATTATGGGTCAGATATTGAGCAGATAGAAACGGGCAGCGCTGTGAAGAAATAAATGGCACAATCCTTTTTTTACTTTTGTGTCTCATTCTACATTCCTTCTGGTAAAAAGCAGAAGCAGATTAATATCTCAAAGAAGCCAAAACTGGTGTGAGATAAGAATCAGACTCTATACATTGCTCAGCTCCATCACACAACATTAAACTTCCCTCACAGCTATGTATTAGTTCTCCACATCAATACCTAATTAAAGGCTTCATAGAGCTACCAGCTACATCCATTCTGGTTTGCATCTTTACCTGTGCTGCATTCCCCTCTCATCCTACCTATGGATGATACCCTTAACAATGACAGTGTGATGCACCTCAAATGATACCCAACAACGAATAATGCTGATGATGAATAATGGCAGTAAAAGCAGTTGAGGGGGAAGAACGAACCACGTAAATCTTAGCAATTGCATGTTCCTTTTGAAAAGAGCCCCCTCTTAAGATGTCACTTCTGACTACTCTCAGGCACTGAGGGAGACACCGTGAGATAAACTGAAGGAGTAGCAGCACTAAGATCATCTTTCCTTCATTACCAAGGTGTTCCACAGAAATCCTACTGCCCTGGTAATCAGCTGCTCTGACCTTGCCCTTCAGCTCCTGCATGGGAGCATCTTGGAGCCAAAGTCAACTTCAGCCTGAGGCGAGCCATGGGCTGACACCTCACAGAGGTCACATCAGCCAGAAGTGACACACTCATCAAATTTCATCTGACCTTGGAAGCAAAGCAAAATGAAAACAACTTAGCATCAACTGGAGAGGAAGAAAGATGAAAATCAAAGTAAGTTTTAGATACAAAATGAAAACAGACCAAACCTTTTGCCTGGACTGCTTCCTGACTAAACAAAAACCTCTTTCCAGTGGTCTATAGAACTATGCCATGACAACCCACCAAAGGTCCTTTTTACCAAAATGAGTGACTAATCAAGATTGGCATGCACCAAACTAGCGCACACAGGGATCTCCATGTCTGGTGATTGTTGGGGGACAGCTGATGAGGGTGCTGGAAGGACTGGGTTTCCCATTTACCAACAGTGGCAGATTTAGTTGAGCAGCATGGCTGGTCTCTTGGCACACTGAGGGCTGACGGATGCACCACACAGAGGATTTCCTTGCATACAGATAGTAAGTTCCAGGCACTGAAGAAAAGCCTCCCCAGCTTTCCTGTAGGCTCCCTTCAGTACTAGAAGATCCCTATAACGTCCCCCTGGAGTTCTCTCTTCTCTAGACTGAAAAGCCCCGATTCTCTCAGCCTGTCCTCGTAGTGGAGTTTCTCCAGCCCTCTGTTCATCTTTGTGGCCACCCTCTGGACCTGCTCCAACAGCTCCACGTCCTTCCTGTGTGGGTCTGTCTTAATATGGAAGACATCCAGAAACTTGCTCCACATAGATTTCTCTCCAAAAGACAGTCCAAAGACAATTAAATCCTTCACTTACATGTACAGGTATAATAAGCCACGTAGCAAACAACAGTATCTACATAATATCTACTTGTGCTTACCGTGGTGATAAAAAAGCCAATCTTCAATTTTTGTGCATCCTGCATACCCTCTGCATTTCTTTGTATGAGTGAAATGACCACATTGTAGGATTTGGGGTCATAATTTGTTACTTTGAAGAAATACTGAGGGTTCTTTGAAACTGCACCTGCTGAGGAATTGTTATTAGATTAGTAATAGCCACTCAGATATCCCGGTAGTAGCCTCTTGTGTTAGATCTTGCTTATAAAGACTCAGAAGAAGAGCTAATTACTTCTCCAAAACGCTTTTGATGCAACAAAGCACTGCAGTCCCTACTTTATTAGCAGTGGTTGAGGAATCTAGAGTTAAACTAATTGCCCATTGATCATTTTAGAAATCTCTGGAAAAGTTATAAATGTCAGGCAGATTTCTCACCCACCCACCTCTGTTTCACCTACATGGCAAACTTTCCCCAAGCAGGAAAGCAGTGATTTTCAATCCCCTGGCTGACCCTGTGGCTGAGCTGAAAAGTACTGTGTTTTGGAGATCATACGCACGTAAATGAAAAACACAAAATGATCCAAAGATATCCTCCTCTTCCTACCCAGTACCGTTTGTGATGCAGAAGACAGTGCTGAGGGCCAGAACAAAAAGGTCAAAGGTTTAATTAACAAAAAAGCATCCCTGACAAGAAGTGAAACTGGAGGAAAAGATCTGAGGTGTCAGCATCTACTTAAGTCAGCCTAGATATGAAGCCATGTACTTGAGTGGCCTTGAAAACTTCTCCAGACCAGTCCTCAGCCTCTCCTCACAGGACATGCCGTCCAGCCCTGTTACCAGCTTTGTTGCCTTTGTCTGGGCTCTTTCAAGGACCTTAACATCTCTTCTGTATTGTGGAGTCCAGAAGTGCACCAGCACTAAGTGTAAGGGGAGAATCACCTCTTTTGATCAGATGGTTATGCTGTGTTTCAGGCACTCCAGTAAAAATGCATGTTTTTTTCTGGTCAAAAGATATTCTACCTTTGAACATTGAGCTTTGTAGCACAATTCTTTCATTCCATGTCTATTTAATTCCAGAGTACCTCTTTCTCTGGGGGACCAGTCACATATTTGCCAGACCAGACTTTCTGATGAGGTCCCCTGTAGCACCTACTTCAACAGGCTGAAAGAACATAGACAAGCACATTTTGATTTTAGGCAGCCTAGGATCTCTAAATCACAAGCCTCCTTTTTTTTTTTTTTTTTTTCTTTCCTCCAACTCAGCAGCCAGTGCCACTGCTTTCTTTCTATCTGTTTCTCTAGCTGATAGGTGCTGTAATGAGAAAGAGCAGGCATCAACAACTACCAATCAATATTTCTGCTAACTGGTGCTTGTAGTGAATGTTTCAGTGTAAGCCCTGGTGTAGAGGAGGAGAGGACTGGGTGACTGCAAGGAGTATTTATTACCAGAGGACCAGTCATTCCTGCCAGTAGTGAGCAGCGGGCTCCACAGGTTGATGTGTCTGTCCACAGACCATCCTGTGTGGTGCTGATCTCCAAAGTCCAGAAACGTTGGGGTGCAGTTACAAACACACAGCCAGGAAAACTGCTCCCGAAAGTTTTTACAGGACATCCTGCAAAGGAGAAAGCCGCATCTTTCAGTTGGTATTCCTGTTCAACCGCTCCTCAGTGTCTTTAAAACAGGGTTACAGAGCAGTGGTACAGGGTGCAGACAAGCTTGGCTGACATTTTGCAGTAGAACTCAGCTCTTAGTGCATTTGGGTTGCCCTAAATGCATGTAGAGCCCCAGCAAAACTAAAGGGCACGTTCAGTAGTGCCTTGATGGAGTCCTGCTATCCCCAGCAAATCCCTGCCATAGTGCCTTGTATTGTGTCCTGTCCTGCCTTCCATGCTTTGCTCAAGCCTGCAGTGTCCATCCCAGACTAGTTTGCTGTTCATTCCCATCTTTCTCAGGGAAAGTGTGCACTTTCTGAAGAATAAGAGCTTTTGTAGAGAATGGCTAACCCATGGCTAACTGGATCTGAGAATAACCAGAGGCTGTGAAAAGCCACAAGCACTTGCAGAGCAGTCAGGTGCATGAGCCCTAAGACCTCAGCTACTTATTCCTCTGAGCAGTCTGAAGTTCAAGCTGGTCACTTGGAGAGACTGACTAGGTCTCACCAAGCTGGATTTTCACTACTACTACCTCTTTTTCTTCCCATCAGCTTGTTGCATAGTATTGGCCAGTTTCACTTCTTCGAGCCTTGTTTCCTCTGACACCATTGCAACAATTTGCCCACAGCTAACACAGGAGTGCTTTGAACCATTACTAAGAACAGAGAAAACAAATGCCCAGATGACCCTTCTTTTATAACAAACACAAAGAGAAAGCCTGATAGACAAAAGGATCAGTTGGGAAATACCAGAATTCTCCATCATTTTTCTTTCTGTAGAGCTCTTCCTTAACTTCAGGCTCAACATAGTCCCATTCTGGAGAGCTGCAAACAGGAACAAACAGCTGTGAGAGGTACAAGTTTCCATCTTTCCAGCCAGTCTATTCCTCTACCCAGTTCATCAAGTTGAGAGGGATCAAGAGGGGTAAGGTAACTGCATGTGGGAACAGAATTGTGTTAAGATTCTCATAACCAAGACCAGCAAATAGGGCACCTTTGTTCTGCTTAGGGTTACCTTTCCTGGAATGGGAAATCCTGCCTCTGCCCTCTGCCCCTAATGCTTCTCAGTGCTGATATCACATCAATGTGCAGAGGGCACATTAGCCAGTCGGATGTATTGTTTCTAAGCAGCATGTTTATAATTAAGTGAGGATTGTACTTTCTGTTGAATGCAAGATAAACATAATCAATAACTCAATCTATGCAGCTTACCCGCTGAGAAAAATGCACACATGGACAAAAGATAGACCTGAGCTAGGCTTAGCAATGAGTACATATGAAAGCAATGCTTCATGAGTTTTCTCAGCTGGATTTCTTTGCAACTGGAATCAGGGCTTACAGTGAATTGATTTAGAAGCGTTTGTTTCATTATAATGGGTGTGAGGTAGAGGTACTTTTAAAATAAGCCTATACAAGAGTGATTTGCCTTAGGAGATGAAAGTTTTGAGGCCATACCCATCACTCCAGGGCCCCTCCCACTCCCCATGGCCCCATGGATTCCAGACTCTGATGATATGTTCCCAGTGGTTCTTGAATTGTATCTGTAAAGATGGAAAAAACAAAACAAATCTCAGTCACAGCTTTTCATAAGCATGATATTCAGTGAAAATATGGGAAATAAAATACATCTTCTGTACTATGGAAGCCTGACTTAACTGCAGCTAAAAAGACAGTGCCTTTTCCTGCTTGTAAAGGAGTGATGATGGAGATGTCCTTCCTTTCCCGAGGACAGCAAATAGCATAAAGTTGACACAGATATGGCAGCCTTGCTGCTGTGCCACAACTTCAGCAGCTCTGGGAAAGTCCAATGTGAGTTCTGCACATCTAAGACTGTGTCCTAGCAATGACTTTGGGAGAGGAGGCCACTTGACTGCATCGTGCAAATGTTGACAGTCAGCAAGGAGAGGTGATGATAAACAAAACCTGCCTCTCTGTTTCTACAATATCATGGCTTCCCCTGTCTGGAGTTTCTGGTGCTTTCCTCTTGCTGTCACTGTTTTAAGACAGAAGAAACACACCTTCAGAGTGAAAATGAAATGGCAGAAGTGGAAAGGAGACTTTTGCTTCTGGCTCTCCTTACACACACTGACAGTGCTGGGAAAAAAAAATGCCACGACACTCTCTTCCCATATGCAAAGATCCAATGGCCTGGGCAATCTCCTGAACATTTCCCTGCAGCACATGGGATGGCTTGACTCTCCTGTAAATGAGACATACGTTCTCTCCTTTCTGCACATATCATGAGCAGCAGGAAGCTGAAAGGAGAGGTCTCTTTTTCCAACAGGATTTGGGATCCTTCCAGTCCCAACCCGGGGAGGGCCAGTCAGAAACTTCTCATCAGGAAAAATTACAGGATTCAGATATCCTCTTCTCATTGTGCTAGAACCTCTGTATCTGCCAAAATTTGAACTAAATACTTTCAGAAATCTCTCCTAATGGTGGAGAGTTCATTACAATTACTATGAATGGAACAGCAGTATGGCTGCCTTCCACATCCCTGTGGTGGACAACCAGTATGAGACCACTAGGCAGGAACAACTCCACAATCATACCTTCACGGCTCCTGTGACAGTGTATGCATGACCTTGCACAATCCCATTCCTTAATACTGTGTTTCTCATCTGCAAAAGAGTGAAAATACAGCTTATACCTCTCTGCCATACTGCAAAAGAATGGTCGTTGACCCCCAGAACTGGCATGGGAGAAAGAGTTTTAATTTCAGCATTATCTCAGATGTATCAGCTCCAGAGAAACGTGACTATAGCTATGAGCAGTTCAGGAAATATAACAAAAGTACACGTCTTCCCACAGTTGAAAATTTTGAATGGTACAGAGCTGGTGCAACTACAGCATGATGTGGATCGGGCTGCTGGGAGGATGAGAGCCTCAACATCTCACTACAGCCCAGTGTTATGCATCTGACCTGAGAGGTTTGTCTTTCACCAGTTTGCAATAGCCAAACTTTCTGTTCTGACAAACCAGACAGTACGGAAGCAATGGAACATGCCTTGCAGTTTTCCTTGACATGCTGTATAAGCCCTTGTCAAGTCTTTTAATAAAAGTACTTAATACATCACAAAATATTTTCCAGCTTCCCAGCATTAATATCAGTAGCCTGCAAATCATGATATGATAACAGTATCCCCTTACAGAAGACAGGAACATTTTGGCTTTGCTAGAATCAATCGTAAAGCTATAAGACCAAAATCAGCCCTGCTGCAAGAAGATAGCACTCAGTCACAGTGGAATTAGCCAGGAGACACACACAGCTCAGAGACAGCTGAGTAATTGATTCTATCAAGGTCAAAATGGGAAGAAGGCCCCTCAGAGAGGGATATGCATCTTCCCTCCATCCACAACTGTTATCACATCCGCATTCAAACCATCTACATCTACCCAAAAGCCTTTACATTCCACATTGCATAACCTTATTTACTTTCTGCTGCCAAGATCTCACCAGGCATCCATGAGCTGTGACCATGAAACAGAGTGATTATGGATGTCCTTTTTTCACTCAAATGAGTAAACTTGATGCAAACATAGCAAACCAAGATGTGCTTCTGGCCTTGTGACTCACCCGGCCTGAGGTGCTACATCCCATCAGACACTGAGATTTGCTAGCAGCTTTCAGAATGTCCTCCAGATCAGGAGGGGGGTCCTTTAATGAGAACTGCATTTGGACTCCACCTGTGAAGTCTACTAAAGCATCAGAAATGTAGCCCCCGTGCAAGTTCTGGTAGGAGCCCTGCAACCTGAGAACAAAAAAAAATAATTCAGTAGTCCTTACACCATGGTTTTATTAAACAGCATACAGTGATGGCTTCTGAAATGAACACAGGCACTGAGACAGTGAAAATGGGGGAGCCAGAGATGTTAGGGCCAGATAATGAGGTCAGGTAATGAAAGGCAACATGACTGAAATAAATGCTCAGATAAACACATGCCCTCTGGGATGAATGAAGCAGGGGACTTCATTCAGTGTATTCACCCAGACCTGGAGCACCTGTCTAGAGTCATTATGGATAGTGGGAAATATGTAAGGTGCATCCTGTTCCAATAGACACACTTTAAGGAGATGAGATGAGTCTCATCCTGAAGTATTCAGTTTTTCTTCTTCTGAACCAGAAGGGAGCCAAACACAACTAGTTTAAATGGATGCTTCAGCTAAATGAAGGCAAGCTATTAATTCCTATGTAATACTTTGTCATGGCTCTTCACAGAAACAACCAGAATTCCTTTTGCAATTGGAAAATAGAGGTTATTTCTCTGTATTTCCAATGCAAAACAGAAAAAAAGTTTTCAGCACTGTTCCCAAATTACTCTGCTAGAGTGCAAGAGGGCAATAATTTAATGTTGTCACCACAGTTCTTCTGTCTTTATCATGCGCTTTTTATAGAGGCAGCAAATAAGCTGGAACACGTTGTATTTAGAAGAGGTAGATCATGCTGTTAAACCTCACTACGCACACTGTATTTAATGCATATAATCAAATGAAGTCTGTGGCTAACTGTATTTTGAAGAATTGTCCTTGTCCTCCACGGATGAAAAGAATTAGTCACGGGCACTGGGGAGAAGCTTCTCAAGTGGGAATCTCATAAAGAGCATCCCCTGCAAATTTAATTTAGTAGAGGTTTGCTTTGCTTTGTAAATAAAATCTTGTGCAGCAAACTGGTACCAGCTCCCGAGACAACTCTTCTGAAATATCTCAGGGCAAAAAAAGAATCCTATTCTTGAGTTACTCAGAATGCTGCTTTAGCATTTGCTGATTCTCAGCCGGATTTGCTGAAATAATTAGCTCTCATTACCATTTTGTACTTCACAACAGTTTGTTTCAGGGCATGTCTGCCAAGCCCCAGCCCTTCAGACTTCACTCTAGCATGGGAATTTCTCTTCAGAGTATTTAATAACAGGCAGCGTTACAAACGCTAAAGGATAACATTCTGATCTCATTGTCTCCACCCAACATCTGCGTGGTCTCTTGGTGACTACAGAGGTAATCCCTGCACAGTCTGCAGTTTTAAACAGAAAAATACAGAAAGGAACACAGAAGTGAAGAAGTTTGCTTAAAATAATGAAGGGAAGCCCAGCCCCTTCGTGTAGCTAGTCATTGCCTTCTCCATTTTACTTCTCAGACACTAACATCCCAGAGTTGGACAGAGTACATTTAGGTCCTCAGCATAAGACCTACATCTCCAGGTTATATTGATCCTGTGCTTGCACACAGCCAGTTTCTTACAAAAGCATAGGACAACACATGCAGCTGTGAGCCTCAGTTCCTCCCTTTGTGATCTCTGTAAAGCAGAGGGTGAAGCCACCCCATAAAGCACTGGGTAGGAGAACTGACTTACTTGGCATATGCTTTTTCCAGCAAGGATGGCCAGAATTCATTTGATGTTCGAGGGTGTACAGACAGGTAATTCCCATTTAGGAAAGGCAGCCGGTCATCTATCACTACATCCACCCAGTCTCCAAATTGCCAGAACTGAAGGAAAAGAAAAAAAGAAAAAAAGAAAAAGAGAAAGAAAAGAATGAGCCTTTTTTAAGAGCTTATATTCATGCCAAGCAACTGTCTCCTGAAGCAGCACAGGAATTAATCTAAAGCATGGATACATGCAAATTCTCTCCCAAACTACTTCAGGCTAATGGCCTAACTTGTGGACCAAGCTACCACGTGACTGTATTTTCCATAGCAGAGGATATCATTTGGAAACAAACAGTCCTGCAGTCAGTTGGAGGAAAGATTCAATATGGGAACTACGCTAATATTATTGGGTGACAGCAAGAGCTTCAGCTGATAAACAATTGAGCAGGCAGTTCGGTGAGCCTCACTCCTGGACTTTCCCCTGCAACACAGCTTTGGCCAGAGAGTCTCTGTCAAGATCAAGTCCCTAGATTTCCCTTTCTCCATATTTCAGTTAAGACTCAGATATGTGCTGTCGTGGAGAGGGAAAGTATAGTGACTAAAGATCGTTTTGAGGTGTTATCCGTCTCCCTGATAGATGAGGAGGATGCAGGTAGTGGACAGAGCAGATGTTTCCAGCTGATGGAACCTTTTAATGGAGAAGGCTGGAAAGGAGGTCCGTGGGGATGGCCTAAAGGAGCCATTTCCAGAGTCATTAGCAGATTAATGTACCTTAGCATGATTCACAGTCATAAGAGGCCAAGTTCTTATTTGCAGTAATGCTAAGGCCTTCAGTGGAAGTACGCCAGCAATAGATTTAGTCTACCATTTTATTTCACCAGCTTTGGCCAATGAAAAACCTCAAAGTGAGCTGTTCTTTTAGAAAAGGACAAGACCAGATCAGGTCAGATTCTCATTTTAAGTTGATGCACTCTGCCATAAGCCCTTGTAGTCCCTGAGGAACATTTCTGTTTCTTTTCCCAGGCTGAGCTATTCCTTGCTCACATGCAGCAGACCCTGCCTCAGAGGTATCACTTTATGTAGCAGAAAAAGGGATTCCTGTAAAAACACAAGACTAACTTAATCCAGGTAGGTCCTTTAAGTTTTTGAAGGTTACGTGGAACCTGACATCCCAGTTGCATAGTTTACATAGCTCTTTAAACATTCCTGGTGAAATAAAGTCATTGTAAGTATTTTCTAGACAAAAATGCTATTCATCTTAACTACTGCTGATGAAATGCTGAACACTCTTAATTCTTGCTGATGAGCAGCCAGCACTGTGGAGCAACCCCTCGTACTGCTGAGGCAATGTGCTCCAGATCCATAAAGGAAAATATTATGCTAATATAAAAATTGGAGCTTCTATGATTTGTCTTGAGATTCTTCACTGAACTGAGGACTGGTGGCTTTGCCTGTGGATGGCAGTAAAACGTCTTTGATGGAGTAATTGAAAGACATTGCCGAGAAGTCATTTCCATTCCGAGTATCTTTCTCAGGGGTTTATTACTTGAGGAAAGCCAGAAACAGTTGCATTGATTTGCAGATGAGATGTCAGGAAAAACATTTTCAAATACCGTAAGGTATTTATATTGCTTAAGATTTAAGGATTGTTCCTAACTAATCCTTTCAGAGCTCTCATGAGAGAAAATTTAGCTTGCATCTTTTTAATTTAAGTGGTCTAGAATCCCTTCAGCTGGGTTGCCTCACGTAGTGCACCTCCGCGTGTTGGAAAAGGGCCAAGGCAGAAACATCTGATATTCACAGGAGCAAAGGAACAGAAATTTATCCTGCCTATGAGATAATCTTCCTGGTGCTGCTCCATGAGAGCTCCAAGGGGTAAAAGAAGTGCCACTGCCAGAGCTCTCTGTGTATAACAAAACAGACTTCTGAAAAAAGGAACATGATGAGTGGCCAAGTAATTACTGATTCTCTCTACCTCCCATTCAGCTTTCAGAGCTTAATGGTATGGCAAATGCTTCTAATCCCATAAGATATTTGACTGACTCAGATGCAAGCAAGCAGGGCCTGACAGTCATTCACATCTCCCTGTCTCTTACCTGAGAGATTCAGAGGATATCAAGATTTGGTAGGAAATGAAATTTACAACAGAACTTTGCTCCTCTCTCTGAATCTGTTCCTCTGACCTCTCTCCCAGGATTTGCAATTTCAAGTAAATTCTACCCAGCTAATAGGGAAAGCTATTAGAAAAACAGAAAATGAGTCCATGTAGATAAAAACCATAAGTGCACTGACAGCCACAAAAAAAATCAAAGCAGAAACCAGAATGTCATCTAGACTATCTATGTATGCAGATCCATCCACACAACTGGTATCTGTACCTCTGGAGTTGGGTACAAGTCAGAACTTTCAGAAAAGGGCTTCAGATTCCCTGGAGTTTGATTGTACCACCTGGAAAAGGAGGACCCGTTAGAAAATTTGGGATTTACTGCAGAGTTCTTAATTGGTTCTCAGAACCAAAGCACTCAAGGATGTTGAGATGTTCAGATCCCTAAATAGTCCAACCAGCCAAGCTGAGGAGTACAGATATGGCAGATTACTTACCCGAAAATGGAAAATCCCAGCATAATCACTCTGGAATCCTTGGTCTTTTGGTAAAACATTTTCCAAAAATCGCTTCTGCATTGTCAGGGAGCCCAGGGCAGCCAGCATCCAGCAGTCACCTCGAGGAAGGGAAAAATCCAGTACGTTCAGTGAGTTATTCACTGCTGTGGACAGTAACTGACTCCTGAGAAGAACAGACTTAGACATCTAAGAAGCAGCTTATTAAAAGAAGCAGCATTCTCCTGTCTTCCTTCTGTCCTTCAAAAACATTGAAATGCAACCTAGCATTCACCAGTAATGCCCATGGGAGCCCTGATGCCACTTAGCCGTCCTTGGCTACTTTCATACTTCTCATATCTTTTGTGGTCATGTTGAGATCTGCAGTCTAGAAAGTAGTATAGAAAACCTTCAAAACTCCCAGTGAGGTGAAAAACAGGAAGACAGCTCTTACAGTATGGGAGCTGCTCTCAAAGTCAAAGATGATTATGAGCTGGAAGAAAAAGATGGAACTGATATGAGATGCAGACACATATCTGTCTGAGTAGTGTAGAAGATGGACAGAAGTACCATAGGAAAAGAAAAAAACACAAAACAGTAAGAGTGACCAGATGGAGATGTTAGGATGAAATACATACTGGAGCTGTACCTGCTTACCCAGTAATTGTATTTGACCCTCGTATTCAAAGTTTCTACCTGTTCTTATATAGGCCTTGTCCTTATATAGAGAGAGTGGGTGCCAAGTATACTAAAGTAGCAGGGATTAGAGCTCCTGCTTTTGGGAATCCTGTTAAATATCTCCAATAAATTGCATGCAGACTTGCAGCAGTCTGGAGTGAACTATACTGTTCACTGAGGTTACCATGATTCATGCCTTTCCAAGAACTCAGATTATTACAAAACAAGCACAGGTTATTGCTCCCTGTCAATCTTTTCCAAAACAGGAATAACCTTACCTATTACTCCTTGAATAATATCAAATCTGCTAACTCCATCCATTATCAAAAAGGGGTTTCTCAGAAGTTCCTGAAAGAAAGAAAATGCCAAGAGAAGTGTGGGGACCCAGCCTCTGCCAGCCACAAGTTCCTGCCCCTTTCTGAGTCCCTTACTGGACTCAGTCTCTTACTGGTTTTTCATTTGGGTTTGTCTAATGCTACAAACATTTTCAGAGGGCTCTGTGCCCAGCTGCCAAACCATACAGTTTTCATGGAATTGGATTCCTAGTGAGGTGGTGAACTCCCCATGGCTGTCAGTGATGAAGAGGCATTTGGATAATGTACTCATTAACATGCTTTAACTTTTGGTTAGCCCTGAGGAGGTCAGGCAGCTGGACCTAATGACATCTATATGTCCCTTTCAACTCAACTATTCTTCTATTCTAGTCTACTCTACATTTGTGATGGGAGCAGCACTTTAGAAACCTAGCCCTTTTCCAACAGAAGGAAAGGGAGGAAAGGAAGTCTCCAATTAGCTCCTCATTTTTCCAAGGAAATACAGTGGTCATAAAGCATCAGGAACTACTGTCTGTTATTGCAAAGCATAGCTATGTGCCTAGTTACTTTGCACATTGACTTTGCAGAACTTTACAATGCACTAGCACTCAAATAACATTCAAATGATAAACACGGAAGCTAGATTTATGTTTCCAGAAAGTTTGCTGTGTTTCACAAGAAACTATTATGAGGCTTCATAGCATTTTCCCCTGAATTCTTCCATTTCAGTGTTTGGTACACTACCTGTATAATGGAATGTTGTATAGAATCTGCTTAGCACTAGTAGCTAAATTAGTAGAAGCCTAATACCTAAGACTGATGAACTTTTACACATACACAAGTAAGGAAGGCTACAGAGCCAGCTCCAACTGGAAAATAAGAAATTAAGAAAGACTGTATTGACAGACCACAGCCATCAGCAGTCATACAGCCCTGCAGACAGGAGAAAACAGCTCACCTAGAGACAATGAATGGAACCAATCCAGAGCAGAAAAACTTTCAGCTATTGGTACTATTGGAATGCCAGGTGAGGGCTTGGGAATGTAGATTGTAAGGGCAAAACTGCCTAGAGATTTCTTTGCTTGCAGTCCTTCCTCAGAAACACCCAGCTTGATCTGTTGCTGTAACTTTAACTCTGAAGAAGATATATTTTTATTTTTGGCTTATTAGTGTCGTGGAAGTGAAGAATAATAAAAAGATTGGTGTTGTTTGGAAGCTAAACTCTCCTCTCAGCTAGACCAATCTTAATTCAGCTTCACTGCTGTGCCTGTCACAGCATTGCTCTGGATTAAGAGGCAAAGCTGCTACCGCTGTTCTCCATGCTGAGGGAATTCCCCAGCTCTGTGCTGAGGATGAATCAGGCATACATTGATGTTGCACGCCCAAATCCACAGGAAACCTCCACAGAGTAGCCAACACAGAAATGAACCAGTGAGACTAACAAGGGAAGGAAGAACGTGGAATGAGCAGCGCTGGCTCAGACCAAAGGTTGCAATTCTGTCCGACAGGGTGGTGAAAAGCAAGCTCTGCTCCTCCTCCTAATGCTCCTCCTGCATACATCCATATATCTTCCATCCACTGGTGGTTGAAGGATTTTCTTGGCTGGAGGCTTTATCAACAGTTAGATGTGAAAAAACAGGCTGACCTTAAGGGGTTTTGCCTGCACCACCAGAACTCAATTTCTTGCTTTGCAGCAGGGTAACTCAATTCCCGTTCACATCTTTTCAGCATAAATACCTCAGTGCCTTCAAAAAACTGCCCCAGCTCTCTGTCACAACAGGGATAGAGGTGCTTGGACTGCACAGATGGGAGCCCACCAGTGTGAGAGGAAAGCCCTGTTGGAGAACAACCATCACTGGAGGCAGAAACCCATTCAGATTGCACCTGCAACTCCTTTGTGTGGTTCAGCACTAAAACACAATGGCAACTGCAAACAAAGAAGGTAAATACAGGACGAACCTCAAGACTTTGAAAGGAGAAATAATGAACAGGATATAAGGGAACCTCACATTTCCATAGTTTGCTTAAGGCAGCTTACATGACTATGTACGTTTGTTTTCTCTATTTTTATTTCTTTCTATTTGATAGGTGTTCCTGCATTCCTCCCCCATGCCATTAAAGCTAAGTTTTTAGGTTAACTCCAAACTACCATCTGCTTTATTGTCTGAATAGAAGTTGTCTGTTTCTCCCCTCTGGCTACAGATAAGCCAAGATTGATGCAGCAGGAACTGCAGCTCAGCTTAGCTGTGTGCAAAGATCCTAATTCCAAAACACTTTCTTTTAAGGGCTCGGTCCTGTTTATTCAATTTCTGTGTGCTTAGATTTCTTTAATGTTGATGCCGTTTCCGGGAAATCTCTGGGAATTAAAGAAAGTGCCAATAAACAAAGCATCACCCAAAGCAGTGTAGAATTACGATAAGCATTCTGTTCCTGAAGTACCTGCACCTGCTTTGCAAAGGGCAGAGGAGGAGGAGAGGTCAAATGTGAGAAAGCCCTTCTGCAAAATGACTGTATCAAATAAGGAAACATCTATGATTTAAATAAGTAGTGAGTCCCATAAGAAAAGCATTGTCTGAAATTTTACTGTTTTCCCCAATGCTTTTTAGATACTAAGTGCAGTAGCACGATGTTCCCCAAGTCTTCACTAAGGGACGATTTATGCTAGAAGCACCACGTGCAAAAATCTCTACCATGAGGGCTTGGTGTGAAAATAGGTCTGGAGCAATTCCCATCTAATGGAAAGCCACAACTACTGCACAATTAGGAAAAGGGACATTTCAAATGACCTACCCCTCCAGGAACTCCCATCCCAAATCAGCTCACTTTTCAGCTCGAAACAAGTTGGTACTGATTGTTACCACTGACTCCTGCTGTATGAAAATCAGTCTGTTTTCTTCCCGCTTTCTACATTACCCCCAGATATGAAGACTTCAAGCTCTGAACATAATTGGCCATTTTCTCAGCAGTGTACAAGGTAAAATTGTCAGAGTGGTGTTGCTCAACTGCTATATCAGAGCTATCTGCTACGTAAGTAACAAAACGCTATATGACTCAGAAGATGGAAGCTAAGAAACTAATAGGCCCAAAATGACATTTTTGTTACAGATACATTTCCAGAATTATTATTATTTTTGCATCAGGGGAATAGCCTGTTAAATCTGAATGGGGAACTTTCAAAGAGGTACTGCTGAATCGTTGGCTGAGATTACACAAATGAGATCTTTAGTAGAATTTGAGAGTCGTCTAGAAGCAGATTAAATGGGAGCACTAGTTCTAGTAAGGTTCACAGACACATACACAATGACAACATTAGTGTTACAAATGCTAATCCACAGAGTTGGATGTCACTGAGATTTTCTGGCTTTGTAACCCATACAGAGCTGTGACTGTGGGTGAAGACATTTGAGCTTGTCATACTGGAAGGTCAGAATCTACACATTTTAAATGTGTAGACAAGGAAAGAAAATCTCAACTGATTTGACACCAGTATTTGGTTAAGTGCAGATTAAATCGAGGAAGGTTTTTCGAAGCAAGGCAAGAGCAGGAGCAGACTTGAAGGGGCAGCTGGTGAGCCCCAGAATCTGTAGAAGACAGCAGAGCCTCAACAAAGGAGTTGTTCTATGTATGCCCTGATTGCTTAGGTGGGAGCTGAACAAATGGTCTCTTCCATGGGTTGATTGCAAGCCTCCCTGTTTGCTCAGGTGTTTACAGCATCCCTCTCCTTGCTGCCCTGGTCTGCAAACGGCAGTTCACACACTAGACATGCAGAAGACACTGTCAATAGGTCAACTTCCTCCCACATGTCCCACAGCAAAGGATGCTTTCTTTCAGTGTTGCATGCCCAGTGCTCCCTTTGGGTTACGCTTCCCTGCTTAGCACAGACCTCTTTCCCCCCAAGATGAAGGCATCAGCACCCACATCCAGCAGCAGTAACACAAAACACCTTGGCTAGCAAAACTCACCCTTGGCCTCTTCCACACTATGTGCTGCAGCTTATCCTTTGGGAGAAGGTTAGGACCAATGGAGCTGACATCAGCAGGGAAGGTGTCATCCTCAAACAACAGACCTTGGCTCAGACACAGGGATCGCAGGTGCTCAAAGTCCTGATTATTAAATTTCCTCAGGTTCTGGAGGCCTCCTGTTGTCCCTGCTGTTTGCATGCCTTGCTCCAACCTCAGAGCCGAGCTGAGGTTGAGCATTGTGCCCCTTTCCTGTGAAGGAGGAGAGACACAGACAACCATTAGCTATCCAGTCTGAAGTGGTGCCCTGAAGCATGTTTGAACCCCTCTTTTTTAAAATGCTTTAATTTATACAACTCACAAGGCAAGGTATAATTCACTTAGGAGAAGTGGACATTTCACATATATATGGTGAAATTCTACACCAGCCAGATTTAACAGTTAGCACTGGAAAATCTACCACATGCCCTGGGCGAGGCATCCTCCTCCTTTAATTAACTTTGCTGTGCTAATATCTAGCCTGCTGTTTAGCTTCACTTTCAAGTCACTGGATGCCATTGCTTTAAAAATTTCTTTTAGTAGGTAAAAAGCTCTTTCCTATCAAGCAAATAGATTGCTGGATCTGGTGTGTTGCTGGTACAGTACAACGGGAGCAGAAGGCTCCAATAAGAGCTAAGCCTTGGATTTCTTGAGCCCAGAACAGCCCCAGTGTAGGAATGACCCAGGCACCTTGCCTCACAGTTAGTGCCACCACCCATCTTGGTGCTTCAGGTCCCTTGGCCATCTCGCATTGTAACTACAGCACAGAAAAACAAGGAGGTTTTGTGTTCTATTATCTTAATTAAAAGCCCCATCAAAAAAAAGAAAAAAAAAGAAGAATAAAAAAAAAGAAGTCCTATAGAATTCAGAAATCACCCTTAGCCAACAAGATGAGAGAACATTCCCCTTGGGCTTGCAGTTTTTAATACAATGGAAATAAATCTCATGTAATGTACCATAACATGACAAGGGAATGGCTTCTTCTTAACAAATACTCATTTGAAACTGTGCCCGAGCCCCATGCATGCAAAGATCTATTTCTTGCAACAGTGTTCCAGCAAAACTGATTACTAATTCCAAAACTCAAATTAAAACTAACAGAGCTTGAAGGCTGGAGCTGACACGCGCTCCCTCTCTTCTGACAAAGAACACGAGCTTTTAGCGTATGTCTGTGCGCGTTTAATTACGTTGCTTAACATATCCGAAATAATTTGGCAACCAGATTGAAGAAAATAATAAGTTTAACTACTTCTGGCCTTCCAAGAATCACTTTGTTGGTGTTGCATCTGAGCGTACGTGTGCACAGAGACACAAGCTCTGACTCTGATGGGGTCAGTGCTCCCCAGCTAGCACTGTGCCCCCACTTGACCACTCCTTTCAGAGCAGCCCTGGCCATATATCCTTTTCGCTTGGTTCCCACAGGTGCAACAGCAACAGCAGAGATCACAACAGCTTTTAAAACAGAACGTTGCCTGCCTGGTGAGAACCTTACAGTTACTGAACTCTGAAGCAGAAAGGCTACAAAGGGACAAAGCCGTAACGCAATGCTTGGCCCTTGGACTGTTCCTAGTCATGAGACATGTGGATGGCAGAAACTAACTGGGGAACCACAAGCACCCACTGTTTTCTGCATTAAACAACTTAAGAACCACCAGCAAAGGGTAGGTCTCTTCACTCTCCTGCATTCATTCACAAAAGATGTCAAACCACTGTTATAATCAGATACTCAGTGGTGGCAAATGCTACTGACAGCTAATTACACTTTGCACAAAGATTTATGTCAGAGTACACGCATTATTTCCTTCAGTGGCTTCTGATAGTTTTCACTGAGTAGGAAGTGGAAATAAGCAATTAGCTTCATCACTGAGCTATCCACCTTCTCCTCTCCATCCACTTTTTTCAGAACATTTATGATACACGTTGGCTCAGCTGGGTTTCTGTACTTTAAGACTGCTGTATTTGCATCAAGAGCTAAGAAGAATCCCAGGAAGGCCAAAAGGCCATCAGCCATTCCTCTGTTCCCTCTCAAGCACTCCAAAACGTCAGTGTGTAATTTAATCTCACACACAGTATTCGATACATGCTACAGAAATGCAAGCTCTCTTTTCCTGTAAGACCCTGTCACTCATGTATTTGGAGTACTGTAAAAACTGCAAGGAATCAGTTCCAAAATGGCCTTATAATGAAGGAAAGTGGGGGTTCATTAGCTCTCCTTGCACTCAGAGAAAAAACAAATGAGAGCATGCTGGTTCTCAGCAGACTGCCATCAGTGACAGCCAACTGTACGGGAAGAGCAGGGACCTGAACCTGGGTGTCCCAAACCCTCTGACAGACAGACAGCATACAGCAGCCATGAGCTCCACCTCACCTCCCCCCAGAAAATTCAAGCACAAAGCTAGACACTTTGGCAACCTTCCTATAAATTGCTTTCCCTATAGTATCTGATACAACCCTCTGTTCCAACTAGTCTATGAAGTACTTCTTTCTGGCTATTTATTTTCCTACATAGCATAAGGACATTCCAGTTACCTTTTTTTCTGCCTCATTTAGCAGCAGCATACAGTAACTATAGAGTCCTCCTCCTCTGAGGATCTCTGCTCCCACCTGATCCGATTACTTCTGACAACTTGCTGTTTTACTGTTAGGCATTTTGTAGGATGGCAGATTCATATTTTTTTTTTCTTTCCCTCCATGCAACATTAAAGACAGGGACTCTAATTTATTCTGTCTCCCCAAGACGAATCCCTCTCAGTGTTACTGTGGTACTTTTCCAGCACTGTTCCTTGAATTTCACCTGCTTTATCTCATACTAAGTAAAATAGCAAAGTGATGTTTTACCTGCAATGCCTCCAGTGGAACCCTGCAGCCAAATCCAAGAGAGCGACAGATGGGCTGCTGTTATCCCAGTGCTCCTTTATAGGGCAGCTTTTGCCCTGCCCTTAGCAAACACAACCAGGTTGAATTCAAGTTCAAGGCCAAAACCAAACAATACGACATAGGCGTTTCATACAGATACCACGTGTATACACACACAGATGCACTTCTTCTGCCAGACACAGTTAAATCTCTATGTACGTATAAAAGTTGATAGTCTAGTTTCCCATGGCTTACTGTGGTTTCAGATGCAGCCATTTTTAGAAGGAAAACATTTGCATACACGACAATTCCAGGTTATCCTTCTTGTACCAGGAAATGCAGCAGTGACACTGGGCATAGGTTGGAAGGACTCACCAAGAAACACGTTATCAGAGCTGTGGGTGATGTTATGTGGAGCTCAGAGTTGGACTCCATGATCCAATTCAGGATATTCTATGATCCTAAGAATTATATGGGAAGAGAGAATGTTCTTCATTTTGGAAAGGTGAAACAGAATCTAAAGCCCAAAAGCGGTGGGAGTGGCATGCAGCATATCATCTGAGACACACTGCTTGGCAGCAATCCTAAATGTATTCCTACATCCTATAAATCCATTTTTGAAGAAAAGGCCTTTGGCATCCTGATAGACAGCATATTAAAATTGAGCCAGCAATGTACTCTTGCAATAAAGAAAGCCAAGTGCATCCTGAGCTACATGAGCTGGAGCATAGCCAGGGATCAGGGGATCCTTACCCTCTGCACAGCCCTTTTGTGTCCATTCCTGCAGTAATATGTCCAGTTTGGGGCTACCCAATATAAGGCTGGCCCTGAAAGCACAGTAAATCCAGCAGAAGCCCACCAGAATGGTCAGAGTGCAGGAGCACGCGGAACCAGAGGAGAGGCTAAAAGTCAAGCTGTTCAACTGGGAGAAAGGAACCTCATTGCAGTCACCTCTTTATAAAGGGCTCCCAGGACCAGCTGGAGCCAGAGTCTTCTTAAAGGGGCAGCAGAAGAGCAGAGGCAAATGACACCAGCAACAGCAAAGGAAACAACATGTGATAAGAAAGAAAAAAAACCAACAACAACAACTTCAGGATGGTTCAGCTCTGGAATAGTTGAATGAGGAGGCTGGAGCATCTCCAACCCATGGAGACATTCAGGTAGATGAGGCCATCAGCAATATCTTCCAAATCAGACCTGATTTTGAGCAGGGATGGGACTTGAAGGTCCCTTCTCACATGAATATCCCTTTGTTTCTTCTTCTGAAGCTGCAGCTAATGCAATAGCAATGAGCCTGGCTTCAAGCCTGCTCAGTTACCTTCACAAGGAGCACAACAGTCCACAGTGGCTGCAAAGGCCACCTGAGGGCCTGCATGATTAGCTCACTGCAAGCACTGTGTTAAGGCATATCTGAGCTAGCAAGCCCAGGTTATGGCTGTGTATACACAGCAGGTTAGATAATTAAACCAAGAAATTACCCTCTCTTTTTCAAGCTACCACTACCAATTCATCAAGAGCAGTTCCTCTGTAGTGAATGTTCCCAAAGCTTAGCTTGGGGCTTAACAGCAAAACATACCAGTATATCATTCCTTCCATAACAACATCTCAAGTTCAGAAATGCCTTCTGCTTGGACTGCAGTCTTTTTGGGCTGGGATGCCAGCACTTCCTGCAGCAGCTGGTCCACAGGAGCTTGGGAAAATGAAAAGATGAAAACACTCATGAAAAGGGCTGCTCAGTCTCTTCATCAATGCTTAATTGAGGTCTGTGGGTCTCCAGGCTTGGATTTTAAAAGCTGGGCACTACATCCTGCTTACTCTCATTTTAGGACTCTCATTTCCACACAAGAATTCAGCATTCAGCATTCTCCAGCAGGAAATGCATCTGTGTAGATCAGAGTAAAACTGCTCCTGAGAGTGCAGCTTCACTTTTCCTTTAAGAGCTGCTTTCCACAACCACGACATAAATAAAAGCTGATTGCAACAGAAGCAGAGTGTGAAGATTCTTTTAGTTGCAGGAAACGAGCTTGGGGTGATAAATGCTGGTGTTGCTCGCTCATCTGACATCACTCGCACTGCTAATTGCCTCCTCTCTGGGGAAGCAGCAGGTATGTTCCCCTCCAGGTACGGTGCTTTATTGTCTGGAACTGCTATCTCTGCTTAAATGGAGGATTAACATGATTTAAGAAATATTCATTGCAAAGTTGATTAGAAAGCACCATCACCAAGCTGGCAGGGGGTTTCAGTTACTGCAGCATGGCACCGATTTGAGAGTGTCAGCTTTCCTGCAGAAGGCTGTATTGATGTGTCCATTCTCACAGTGGCTCTTGAGGAAGAAATCCAGAAGGCACAGAGATTTCTACATGGCAGTAAGCCTTTGGATTAGTTGCTCTCCTCCCGAGTGTTTGTGCAGTCCTGCAAGAAAATACAGGCATTT